CAACGACCATCGGACATTTCGTGTGATTCCACGATTTCTGTAATATCACCTATATTATAGCTTAAATTGATCGCGGTCGATTAGTCGATCTTTTTTCCAAAACGTCACTAAGATACAAATATTATAAACGATTTACTGGATACGTTTGCATAATATAATTTTTTCCTCCTAATGTGTATATTTTTAAGTGGGAACTCGGTAAGTCTAATCTGTCGTGTCCGAGCAGGACATCGCGAGAGTGAGTGGACCCATTTTTTTTTTTTTTTATAAATATGCAAAAATAAAATATGTATTGATTCTTTTGTAATTTGGTCAGTGACTACTACAGTTAAGATGAATAAAAAGTCGAGTTAAAAGTAATTTTTAATTTTCGTCACTCTTAACATACGTAGATATAAATATATAATTATGGCTAATGGTGATGTCACATTTTAACTCAAAGTTATTATTTAGGATAGAATTAAAAAAAAATCAACTAAAAATGAATGTCAGGTAGATGGAATGTTTGGCCAGTAAAATATTGACACAACGCCAATGCAGTGATCGTTTTTTTCACGCCCATTAATAGTTACCTACTGCAGATTATGTCCATTGTCCAGTAATTTGCGAGTTTATTGTCAAGCTTTTTACTTGGATAACGTATAACTGTAACCAGCTGGAAATAATATATAAACATATGAGTAATATGTATATTATAAGTTACAAGTATGAAGTATTATTCATAACGTTTGACGTTAGTATAAACTATTATAAATTATTACTCTATTATGCGTATTAAGACGTATTGTCTGATGACAATTAATTTACAAGTTGAAACAAATTATTCGTATTCCTTATCGATGAATTATATATAATTAGTTTTTGCACTACAACAATAACTTTAACATATTATTTTCTGAAATGCGATAACTATTATCGACTTAGGCACGCGACAAAGAACCCACTGGCGTGTTATTTCAATCGTCTTATCAATGACCTTAGGACTTTAGTTCTTTAATATTGCTTATTCGATTTTATTGAACACATATTAATATTTATTTTACGACGGAGGTCCCGTGTGTCGTTTGTGTACAATTATTTACCTATCGTTGTGAAACCATTGCAATAACGTAATAATAATTATAGAAGTGTATCAACCGACTCGTCGTTAAATGTTTTATTTGAATTAATTACATTTTTTTTCCTTTGATAGCAAAATAAATAAAACCCATAATCGAGATCGTTTCTATGTACATTGCATTAAATTGGTAATGTAATTATTAAATAATTGTAAAAATAGCATTTATAATACAATAATGATTAACAAATATTAAATTATAAAACAGTACAGTAATCTTCTTTAATTATAAACATTATAGGTAATAATAGTATAGTATAATAAAACAATCACGACATTTTCAATTGGAAATCAACGACAAAAAATCCATGTATGTAACCAGCATATTATATTATAATTTATATACCTAGCTGCTTATTACTTCTTCTGTAAGTTTATTATTTATTATTATGACTTGCTAAACATGTAATAATATATAAGTTTATATAACACATCGAATATTATGATATGGTGTATACTGTTATATTATAATTTATGAAAATGCTGTCTTTCACTTATTGTACTATAAACGAAAATTTTCTAATAAATACATTTGAAATAGGTACCTACTCAAATTCCCCACATATTTTAAATTGAAACAAACTCGTAGACGCTCTACGTCCATGTTTATAATTAAAATTTGACATTGCGTGTTTTGAAATATCTTGTCTAAAGTGATAATTTTCTGTTTTCTTAGTTGTACGCTTGCAAATTTTGTATACTATTCTCCAACCGTTTGACATTATGACTGGGGGAAAACACTGTAATTCTATCGTATAGACCGGTATAGCTCTCCGCGAGTCCCGATTTGTCATAATAATAACTGTGCAGCGACATGTTGAAATATTGAAATTGTAAGTATAATTCATGGGCCCCCAAACGAACATGTTCAGTGGGGCCCATTATCTTCTTGAAGAATAAATAAAAAAAAAAAATTATAATTTGTAACGTTAAAATTTAATATTAAAGTGTAATATTCGTCCGAAAGTTGTAATTATTTGATATTAGCTATGCTATAGTATGTCATCGCTGTATACCTAAGGGTACACGACGGCTCGTCTCGAGGTGCGACGACAATTTACTCGATACGAAACGAGAATAATGGTCGACAGCCAAAATTTTTTCGATTCTTGAGGACAGGTATATATAGACTTTTCGATGAAATCCTTTAACGGATTAGTCGAGATTCTCTGTGTACATCGCTGTATAATAGTTTGACGAATAAATCGACTATTTCTGGACTATATACTGGCACGCGGCTGTTGTCTTCCGGTATATTATATTTTATACACCATACAAAGTCTTCAACCTTTCACGAGTGGTTTTACGGTGGAAACGATTTTTCTTTTCCATAAACGATATCATATGCAGTATAAAATCATATGTTATTCTGTACATTGCAGCATCGACGGTCTAGTGCGATAAATATTAACATAATATAATATTGCAAATGATTTTTATATTTTTATGTACGGCCTCTGCTGGTTTTATTTGATGATCATTATTTATTTAGCGAGGAAAAATCCAGTAACCGGCTCGGAGAACTTGGGTATTCGGAAGAACCAATTCTCGAAAAATTATGTTTTTAAAAAATTAACTAGTTCCATTTTGCTAAGTCGAGTACATAATATTTTTACATTTAAATTAGGTGAAAATAAAAATTATTGTATTTCATGAAGATTTATAAAATTATACTGCACTATATTTTATATTAACTATAATTTTGTATAATGTATATATATATATTTATGACGCAATTAGATAGGATCAATATATTATTATTCAATATATTTCCAAATATATTATCATTACAGCTGATGTTACATTGTTATATAACAAGACGTTTTAATGAGACGCTTTTGGAATTTCTCAGTATTCAAAATAGTTACTGTAAGGATACTACATAATTGTTAGTCGTTTGTAATCAAATAAATAAATATAATAATATAAGATGAATATGTATATATTATAGGCGATCGTTTGATTTTTAGATTAAAAATTTGGGAATTTAAAGTTGAAAAATGACAAAAATCTAAAAAACATGTTTGTAGTATTATCTAGGTTATTTATAAAAAAAAAATGTTTTGAATTTTATGATCTTTTTAGTTCGAACTTTAAACTAAAAACTGTTGTAAATAATATTATAATATGTTGTCTTAATTTAATCTATATCTAATATATAAAAGACAAAAAAAAAAAAATGAATGCACTTTTGTCTTTATGCATTCCTTTACCGTTCATCCGATTGCGATAAAATTTGGTACAGAGATAGATTAGACCACGGGGAAGGAGATAGGCTACATTTTGTCTCGAAAAAATTAAATAAGAGGTCCAACCTGGGACCTTAGTACCATGTTAAGTTAGGTTAGGATTTTGTATTAATTGACTGTATAACTTTGATACTTTAAAATTAAACTATACACAATACGTTACAATACGTACAATTACACATACGTACATACTGATAATATACGTCTGTTCGCAATTTCACATAATCAAATAAAACTAGCAAGTAACAATAGCAACGCATTGCTGTATCAGCTCGTATGATATTATAATATATTAAGTTTTTCAAAAAATATTTACATAAGTACCTACAGTTATATCATAGCCTAAGGGGACCGGGAAAACGATTTATAAACGCATCACACAGTAGTTTTAACAAATCGACCAAACTCGAAGCATTTCGTTTATTCCTCGCCTTTCCACCGCATAACGCATCATGCAAATGATTTTTAACTTGATAGTAACATAGCCATATATGCACTAATGTACGATTACTCGATTAGTATTGGTACACGCCACTGTAGTTAATATTGTTATTAGTTTAAATAGACCCAATGGCCAATAGGTTGTGGCGTGCATTGAACTTATCGCTTAGGTATATATGCGTAAATTAAATTATTTTATTTTAATCGATCGTGAAATGTAATAAAATTATAATCTGTTTTGATAATGAATCGCCAGGTATATATCAGCGTATAAGACCGTTTACATTTTTTTTTACCCATACTAAAATATACTGAGATGTTTATTGAATATTATGGTTCAATCGCTTAAAAAATTTTACTCCGACGTGATTACAAAAACACTAATTGGACGATACATCGTACACACATGTATACATATATTATTGTTTATTAATGCTACTGCAGTCGGACAGAACCTTATTATAATAATACTGTGGCTATCTGTATTATGTATAGTTGTAATGAAAGGAGCAGTTGTTAACAGCTGTTCGATAAATCCGAACGTTTATTATATTATTATTGACACTACTGTTACAGTCTTATATCTTACAGTTTCTGGTACGAACGTGCGTTTACCTTTTCTTCGTTTTATTATTATTTTTCACATTTCCTCTGGTACAGATAATATTATGCGGTCATCACGGCGACGTATAGCTGTTTATTCGTTATTGTGACTCGTCTCCGGTAGCCGCACAACTTGATAATAAATTGAAATATCTCACCAGCTCATTTAAATATCATGTCTATTAAACGACAGACGCGTGCGTGAATAACATTAATGCACCTATTGTATTATTGTAAGGATTATTATTAATTAAAATAATATGTACGAGTTAGGAGGTATGACGCACTGCGAGTCACACGCATTCCTCCAACGCTCCCGTAAACTTTTTAAATGTAAAAATGTGATCCATTTACGTCCATTTTCGGTTCATTGTATTATAATTATATTGTATCAACATCATTCGCCAACGTTGTGTGCCTAAAAATATAATAATAGGAACTCTATTATCAAGACGTTATTACATTTATTCACGAAATTATGCATGCTTGATTGCAGGACAACCGCGGGCTAGAATTCAAAGAGCCTCCGAAAACAACATGTCGATGAAAGTCAAAAGCTAAAAATAGACCACTTAAGAACAGAAAAAAAAATGGATCAAAGTAAGTATCGATATATTAGTATAATACGATCTAAGCGCAATATAGTAACTATAAAATGAGCTTATCTCTAATACGGCGTATCAGTGACAGACATTAAAACCAAAAGGGGGAGTACGAGAGGATTTTTTTTCGAAAAATAAAATTAGCTTAATTCGATGCTTACATTTTTCAAATATTTTTATACCATATACTTACAATCTACTTAGACCCAATCAGTATTGCGTAAACGTTTACAATACTAAGGTTTAACTTTTTGACAATTTAAAAGAAAAAACATTTCATTGCTATCTGGATGGACAAGGTCCTTTAATATACATATTATATCATAGGTTATATAGCTCACTAAATTACGTACACATCAGTGTATCATATAATAATATAATATAACGATTTAGACTAATTTTGTGTGGCGTTTGTGTTATTCTGTGCAGATTCCTACAGTCCAAACAGGAAGAAACCCCTCGAGAAGAGATCGTGTACGGATTGCTTGTGCTTCCTCGGTTTTGGCGTGTTCATAGCCTGCTGGTTGGGGTTGGCCAGCTATGGTACGTATACAATTTATGTTAAAATTTCAATCAATCCGATATCACTCAGCCGATCATAACAAATAACATGTGTGTTATCAATACAGCAGGCGCGTAGCTAGAAATTTCAAAGGGGGGGTGTTATTTAAACTTAAGAGGACACTAAGACGCGTGTGTTGTCTCTGTCTTACACACGCACGACATAACAAATTTTCGTCCACTATTTTCAATAGTGAGCTGTTAGTTTTGATACTAGAGTGAATCGACATATTATCAAACTTTTAGGTAAGAACATTATCTGGGTCTTAGCTTGGGCGATTTTTCGATACTTTCACTTTTGAGAAAAATAAGTGTATGGAAATATTAAAAATGCTCATATCTCGCTTGAAAATTATTTATTATACAAACGTATTACAACTTAACAGTGAATAGATAATAGTTTAGAATAATAGTTATCTTATATAATATTATTATCAATAAAAAAAAATGAATACATTTTTAAATTAACTTAATGTGTCGACTTTTTGAGGCTAGTGTATCTATTATTTCGTCTGTGGTTACGACTAAATCTCGATGAATATTTATAACAGCTAAACCATTCAAGCGATTTTCACCAGTTGTATTTCTTAGATATGTTTTCAAGCGTCTTAATGAGGAAAAAGACGTTTCACTGCTTGCAGTTGTTACAGGTAAAGTAATCAATACTTGTAAAAGTCGATAAACAGTAGGAAATATTATGTCTTCGTTGCTGTCAAAGAAGGCTTCGGTAGCATTTTTAGGATTTTTATTTTTTATATGTTCATACCGTATTGCAAACTCACCAATTGCAGATATTTCATCAGCTTCAATATCTGAAGAATATGTCTTAAGAAGTTCTTTAAATTCGGTCTCATTTTTTTCATTTGAATTTATTAAACAAGTAAATTGTTTTAATAGTGATTTATGGTTCAAAAATCTGTCATTTAGTTGCTCACAGAAATTATCCAAAAAAGGTACAAAAATCAAAATCCTAAAATAGACTTCCGGAGATTCTGCTGAAATGCTAAAACGATTTGTTCGGTTTATAGCTAGTCGAGGTATTGCAATTGTAATCCCCAATGATAGTTGATACGATAGAGTAACACTCTAATGATGAAGTTGTAAACAAGTTGTAAATACTCTGCATTAAAAGATATCTTGTATCGTACATGAAACGAGTCAACGATAAACTGACACAGAATGGTCTAAAATAATAATTATCTAATTCCGTGTGCCTGTGTCCCGGTTTAAATTATAAAACATAGTACACCACGGTTTAGGGGGGGGTGTTATTACACCTGTAACACCCCCCCTGGCTACGCGCCTGCAATACAGTGTGTTTCACCAATCATGCTCAAACCTATATTTTCCTTTAATAATTAACTTATTCAAATTATGATTTTTGTAATTTTTAAATGTACTTACTTAACAAGTTAACTTGTTAACAAGACAATTTTTTCGAATTCTTGAGATTTTTCGTACTACTCTAGAATTTTAAAATATGGTCGAAGTATAGGTATATTAGGAAATTCCAAAAAACAGAATTTGAATAACTGCATTATTGAAGAAAAAAGGGTAAACATGCTTGGTGAATAAAATACCTATTACACTGTACCTATATTATATTAAATATCTACACCATCATATATTAACAAAAATGTTTATTTTCAGCTTATCAAAATTCGGACCAAGAGCTGTTCATTTCACCGTCGGATTCGAACGGTCAAGTGTGCGGTAGAAATAAGAACGTGTCTGACAAATCGTACCTATTCTTTTTTGACATAACCGAATGCACTTCGCCAATGATTTTCGTCCACGGGTGCCAAACTCCTCAGGTATAAATGATTAAAAAATTCGGCTCACGAGCTCTTAAGAACGATAAAAGTACCTACATCCATTTTCCAAGTAGACAATGTTGTTTCCAAGAAAAAAAATAAATATTTTTACGATTTAAAACACTTTAATTTACGGTGAAATATAAAATTATCATCTTAACAGTGTGGGTAAATAGTCTAGTTGTAGCTATGTCATCGCTTTTTTAACAGATCATACAACTTACCTATACTATTTAATATACCATATAATACGCATTGCTCTACAAAAATTATTTCAAAATAACGTATATAACATAATCCGCGTCTCTGTTCCCGAAAGGTATGCGTGGAAAATTGTCCAAACACGGATTGGTCCGTCAAAGAAGTGTTGGACTCTAAAGACTCTCAAGTCGACTGGCCGGCCGTACAGAAGACCCTGATATGCGTTTCTCCCGATCTCAACAAATTGGTCAATTCGAAGGAAGTGCTGAAAAACTTTACATCGTCCAACCTATGTGCCAAATATTTTACTAAGAGCGAAACCCGTGAGTATTAAGCATTATATTATGCATAATAATATATTTATCAAGTCCACGCTGTGTGACCACAAAATATATAATTTATATAGGAATCGGGGTTTTTATATATTATGATGAATTTTATTAAAAAAATTGTTCACATTTTATTTCAAAGCTTAATATTGTACAGTATACATAACAGGGTTGTCTTGTATACTAGCTGGTGTCTAGGTATCTTTGTACATTGAATGTTTGGAATTACAATTTTTATCTAAATTTGTAAATACTGCAAACACACGTAATAGACATAACACACAAGTATAACGCATTTTTCGATTAGATAATTATTTTTTTGTTATGGGTTTGGTGCATTTTTGCTCAGTTGAATCTGTATAATATATTTCAAGATAACATCGAACGATATACATAGGCTATATAATATTCTGTGCATAGAATTACAACTTTTTCAAGTGCATAATCTTTAGATCTCATTTCGAACATCAGAAACACAATGCCTTCCCTATCCATGTATACATAGATAATTTTGCAAAATTATGTAATACTTATAATTAATGTATAACACCATTGCATTATCGGCGAAGAGTATAATATTATACATTTATTTTCCAAACGATTTCAGTGTTTAATTATTGCATCCCTACGCTGAGTGGTGACTTGGAGAGTCTGAAACAAATTCTGAGTTCCAACAATATCGCGATGAGCAACTTTATCGACGGAACAGCTATGGTTGATTGGTTGAAAGTGTCGAAAGAAGTATGTAATCGAAATCATATGTTATACCATACCATAATAATGTAATAATAATCGAAATCATAAAACTAAATAATATGTAATAATAAAAGATTTTTCACACGTGATTTAAAAGTTTATACCATATAAATAATAAATGCTTACAAAAAAAAAAAAATGCAGTCAATATATAACAAAAATCAAGATTTAAATTGTTCGTTGTACTCGTAGGCCAGTCAAAATATAAAAGAAGATTTGGAAAAAAGCTACCAACACATTATTGTTGGTTTGGTCATTGCTATTTTCTTCAGCCTTTCCTACATCCTGCTGCTCAGGTGGTTCAGTTGGTTAATGGTTTGGATGTCAATGTGGGCCATCGTGGGCTTATTAGCTTTTGGTGAGTTATTGATACATTTGTAGTGTGCATTAAGATCATTACACTATACACATAGTAATTACCAATAGTTTCACCAACTCACTTTTCCGACAAACAAAAAAAAAAAAAAAAAATCGATCTAAAATTATTTAGAAAATATCCTGTGTGTAAGTGTATTATACTATTTATAGGTACTGTATTATTTAAGTGTACATGAAAAGTCGTCCTTTGCCGCGGTAAGTGGAAGTTTATTCTACTCAATTTAAGTTATAACGAACACGACAAACTATTATATGAAATCGCTTACATCTAAAACATGTTTTGTAGTGTATTTGTATCACTAAATTAAATTAAATGTCTATATCTATATTCTATGTAATATTATATAAAATGTATAGCTTTCCAAGTTAATCTCGCAAAACTCAAAAACGCTTAGACCGATTTGAATAACTTTTTTTTGTTCTGTTCGTAATAATTGTCAAGACAAGGCTTGTATGAAATAACATTTTTTGAAAATCCACCGGAAGAGTAGGAAATCTGTATTGAAAAACTACAACATTGCTCAAACCACTGGACTAAGATATAATGTACCTACTGGAAACGAGCAGCTTATCAGTGGCCACGCATGTATGTAAAATAGGCACTGGGTTTACAACGCCATCGCCATCTGTTTAAAACGAAGACTAAGATGTAACCAAATAAAACCACCGAGGTAGAGCTGAAAAGATTGGGTCCCCAGAGTAAGAAACCTTTCGGTGGCCGACCCAATATCGTTTCCAGTCCATTATACCTTAGTCCGTGGTCGAAACTATAATATAATATATTAAAAATGGTATTCTCAAGGCTAATTTTTCGATTTGTTCAAGAGTATACCGCCGCGGAAAAGGGTGACTGTTTTTAAATAATACTTTGAGCGTATTGTAAATAGCGTTCCGGGTATAGATCTTTTTCTATTTTTCAAAATTGTAATACATCCGTTGTTTTGTACTTTAGGTAGTTACGAATCTTATGTGAAATACGTGTCATTCGGCGACTCCGATACCGATACTTCGCTCAACGAAGACGGAGAGCCGACCGACATTGCGACGGGCGGCGGCCGGCAAAGTTGGACCAACTACGCAAACTCCAAACTAAACAAAAAGTCCACCTGGTTGGTGTTCACTGTCGTGTCAACCGTCGCGCTGGTCGTGTTGCTGTTGATAATCGTGTTCTTGCGCAAACGGATACGGCTGTCCATAGCCCTTATCGTGGAAGGAAGTCGGTGAGACGATGATATAATAATTATAACACCTATGTAATAATATGTAACTGAACCTCTAACTAGTCATGACGGCATGAGCAATACAATTCCCATTCGAATACGCCACCGCAGTTTAATAAAATCTATCGGTTTAAAAAAAAAAAATTATCATTATTTCATTCTTAGAGCGATACTCGAGATAAAAACATCACTGGCGTTCCCGGTGTTCCAGTGGCTGTTGTACTTGGTGGTGCTGATTTGGTTTTTCATCGTCGCCATTTATCTGTCGTCAATGAAACTGTACGTGTTCAAAGTCAAAGGCCTCGCCAACGACCACGACTGTGTTTGCAACAACAGTTACTACAAGGTATTTATATTGGCGATCTTATGTACCGTACATAATCTATAATATTAGTTGATCGTTAGCTAAAGTAAAAAAAAATAATATATGGTACTCGCATTACTTCACCGAACAATATTATCATTGCAAGTACAATAGGCAGTATTATTTTAAACCCATCAACAGCACCGACTGAGGAGGATCAACTTGATAAAGCAAATTTCGTTCTCAGTTCGCTACCGGTTCTTTCTAGCCAGCCTTCACCCACCGCTATCGATTTTGTTGTTTTCTTAGTGTCAAATAAATAATAAACGATTTTATATACGTATGCGGTATAGAACATTGCACGGTATGTATAGACACATTTGAAACACCCGACCTATCACAACCGTCCATTTAGTTATTAAGATATTTACTACTCACACATTTTAGTATTAATATTGACCTCGTACAGTTTTTAAATCAATAATTTAACTAATATCTACGATGTGTTGTTTACCAGGACGGTGACTGGTGTACAGAGTCCAAATGGGAACGGTACTGCAGCTCCATGGGCCAGAAAAATACCATGTGCAGACTGGCCAAATGCGCTTACGACCACAGTGTGTCGCAGGACTTCATCACCGGACTTCAGCTGTTCAACGTGTTCGGAATGTTGTGGCTGATGAACTTTGTGTCTGCCTTCTCTCAAATGGTGCTGGCCATCACGTTCACCTCGTGGTACTGGACGTTTCACAAGAAGGACGTACCGTTCTTCTCGCTTACGAGTTCCTTCTACAAAACAATCAGGTACCTAACATTCACAATAATTCACCTCCTGCTACGATCAGTGGTATGTACGTTTGACACATAAATTAGATCAAAGGAAGGGATTGGTATTATCTAGAAGTTTTGATAAATGGAATAGAATTGTAGCTATCAATTCTCTTCCCCTTACAAAATTTATTTCACATAATCGCTGCCAGTACCTACTAAAGATATATATATTGTATATTACGTGACATATGAGGCTAATATTTACAGCATAATAAACGGAGTTATTGGTTAAACTATTCGAAATATTTTTATATTTATATTTTAGTTTTATTTGTCTAATAATATAGAATTGAAAATTTAGATTTTAGACATTATAAAAATACAATTTTTGTTATTTTGAATATTTGTTTATTGTTAAATTGTCAACAATAAGCAAAATATTATATTATACATTATACCTATATTATTATTTTATTTTTTTAATATTTTACATTATATATTATTTAAGTATACTCATCGCCTGTTTGCTTGCTTTTTTACCTAGATATCACTTAGGAACGGTGGCTTATGGGTCTCTGATCATCGCCATCTGCAACTTTATACGAGTGATACTCGAGTGGGTGGAAACCAAGCTGAAGAAGTACGACAATTCGTTCACCCGAGCCATATTCACGTGTATGCGATGCTTCTTTTGGCTACTGAACAAGTTCTTGCGGTTCGTCAACCGGAACGCGTACATCATGTGTGCTATGTACGGAAAGAACTTTTGCACTTCAGCCAAACAGGCATTCGACCTGTTGTTGAGGAACGTGTTGCGCCTAGTGGTCCTGGACAAGGTAATATTTTAATAGTGAACTATAATTATTATTATAAATGGGATAATATGGTAATCATATATATATTATATAAGCTATAGTATGTATTATATTGGCGAAGTTATGTCATTATGTTTAAAATCTATGTTTTTGAAGTGCTTATAGGGATGAGTTTATGTTCCTGAAATAGTTTAAAAATAGACAATAATGTAAATTATTATAAATCTTATGAGGCGTTATAATGAAATACCATTTTTTTTTAAATTGGTTTTATTCTTGTGTGATGCTATTAATACGTTTTAAACAATACTATTTATATAATTTGAATAATATTTTATTTTTGTAAAATTAAAAATTCAACATTTGTGTATCCATGCATAAATGTATTTATATTGAAAATTCATAAAATTACAATATTTATGATTTAATAAATAGTCAGTCCTAACTCAACAAAATGGATAGGAAATTTATTTTGCAGATTTTGACTAATTTTTAAGCTAACGCGATTAATTCTTATATATTTAATTATTTGTATAATTGTATAAGCGGAATTAAGTCCTATAACATATTATTATAAACGTAAGCACAGTAAAAGTTATAATATATGGTATGTGAATCTGATATACAGAAAGATAAATAATAAAGAATTATAAATACAACAAAATTAGAAGCTAAAGACACATATTACGATTATAAAGTTACAGATAAAAATGAAGATCTTATATTAAATATCTAATATAATTAATCTTATAAATCTTTATTTCGTATAGGATTAAATGATTACAAATATTACGTTCTATTTAAAATGAGAAGGACACTTCTTCGTTTGATGAGGTAAAACCATCGTATGAGCGCTTCTCAAAATGTATTCGTTTTCAAGCTAATAGTTACTTCCAACGAAATCTGTTGTCAATATTTCTTTGTTCATATATTATTATTATATATATTATTAAGTTTTCGTGCATTGACACTTTCACATAAATCCACTTACAAACTGCGATGTAAAAAATAATGCAAAATTCAGTTCCGTCATTCAACAAAATATGAAATAATCTGATACATTAAAAATTATAATATATATATATATTTATATTCTTAAAAGAAGTCATTGAAAATTTTTATTATTATTATTATTATTATTATTATAAAATTGGATTAAAATTATCCGAAAAATATGTGACTTGTGATGACATAGTGTAAACGATTTTAAGTCACGTGACCCTACAACCCATTCCATTATAAAATATACTCTCGCAGAAGATGCGTAAAAGTATTATTAAACGTAACATTATATGACGTTGGAATAATCTATATGTTGGGCACCTATTATAATTTTGTATGTATTGTTTCAGGTGACCGATTTCATATTTTTCGTGGGAAAGGTCGTCATCATGGGTGCCACAATCGCGGCATTTTACTTCGAGTTCTACGAACCGATAGAGCCAATCAAAAAGTTCGAGTTTTTCAATCAGCCCGTCCTCAACCACAAGTGGTTGCCGATGTTCATCGTGGCAGCCGGCTCCTGGGTGATATCTTCCACGTTCTTCCACGTGTACTCCATCGCTGTCGACACATTGTTCCTATGCTTTTGTGAGTACATTGATATTCATATTATAATAATACCTATAGTTCCCTAAAAAATTATTAAATTAACCTAAAGTCAGTCTGCAGACACACGTAATTTTTCGGCAAAATATTCTGTTTCAAATATTGTGACGCTGAAGTGAAGTCTGAATGCACCTTAACGACTACCGATTCATTGTTTTTCACAAAAGCGTCGTACGCAAACACACTGTGAACGACACTCCACTGATCCATAGTTGTAACAAAATGGCATTATCCGACGGATCGAATGAGCTTATCTAGCACATTCAACGTCGAGAAAAACCTGTCTATCTTGTCCCTATTTCCTTGGCCCACCCTGTACTTTAAAATTATGTTAACAAAATATTATATTGTGTTATATTTCAAATGTTAGAACGATATATTCTTGAAAACCATTATTTTTGAAAAAAAAACAAAAAATGTTTTTGAAAACTTATGACATATCTATGTATATACAAGACATACCTATGTCGTATTATATACGACAATATATTATTATTTATATAAATACAATAAAAATGTTAAAAACAATTTTTCTTCTGTTGTATAGAGAAATTAAATACAAATCAAAAGATACCCGTTAAAACCAATTTAAAAAAAGTAAAATTAAAAAAGTTTGTTTATTTCTATGTTCTGTTAGCCGTTAGGGTTACAACAATCTGTGCATTGTATATAATCTATAATATAAATAAAAGGCAATATGTGTGTCTATTCTAAAATTTGATACAAAGATAACCCAGCTATATCTGAAGATGTGAATCTCGAAGACAATTTTTAATTTTAATGGGGGGCATACACAGGGATTTGTTGGCTCACGAAAACTGATATTTTTTTGTATAAGGTTGCTATTGTATTATACAATATTATTATGTGTACACTCGTCTTCATCTTTGGTCATATTCATTATGTTTCAGTGGAAGACTCCGAACGAAACGACGGATCAAGTGATCGTCCTTACTTCATGTCGCGGAAGCTGATGAACGTTCTGGGAACGAGGAACGTGCTGTAATTTCCGTCGACAAAGCGAAATGATTTAAATATTTTTAATACGTCATATTATTATATTATATTATACATAAACGATAAACCTATATTATATTGGTGCTGCCCACCGCCGACGCCACCACGTGTGTTCGTGAAAAAATAAATTATACAATGAATATTCACCAAATATATAATGATAATATAATATTCTATATAATATGTTGTATACCGGTTCCTCCTCACCCTCCCCCGCCCTGGTGTTATAATATTGTAAACGACTATTTTATTTATTAATTTGCGTACCTATGTAATTGTAATATAATAATAAACCATACAGGATGATTTTTTATCGTGAACCAGGCTGTAATATACCTCAAGAAACACAGCTACATTTTTAATATCCAACAACCTACTATTTTACTATTTTTCTATAATTATTATGTCGTCAGTAATATTCTGTTGTAGAGATTAAAAATCCCTTGTTACTTTCTAACATATTGCTAACAGGTGGCTCATGATATAAAATCACCCTGTCGTATGTATAACGTATTGCTTATAACATTGTTATACCGTAAATAATTTTAATTTTATACCACACACAACATATCGGCCTATGAGGTGATGATATTATATCCTATTCACACTTGACCTCAGTCGTGGTACAACTAGAAAATAATTTCGGGGGAAAAGGGCTCCCAAAACGATAAGTCGTCACGAATGTAGTGATTGTATTTAACCTACCTACCAATTATTTAACTATTATTAAATCATTTATATAACAATCCCCCAGCCCCTCTAGTGGGGTTCCTCTATGCATACCTAGGTACAACTGAAGCAGTAGGTATAGTGGTAATGTCACTAATGTGGTATATTAGGTATAAAATATATTATTGTAGTTTCTCCGACAGCAGTCATCAAAGGCCGCGGATTTTAATACAAAAAGTTATCCGGTTAAGGACTAGTCTCTGCAACTACAATGTATATCGTTAATCACAATAACATCAATTATATTTACATTTTACCTGAAGTTCGGTATACAGACTTACAATTAAAATGCATAAAATAGTATTATGTTATTGTATTACTCTATTTTTTTGTTTAACTTTTATACATTTTCAAATATGTTTGCTAATTTTCTAATGTCATTGAAATCTGCTACCCCCAACCCACGTGATAATATATATTAGAATACTTTTATACGAATTATATGACGAGCTTATTTATAATATATATATTTTATTTATTATATTGTACGCGCTTGGTAATTTAAAAAAAAAAAATGTTTTAAGGCTGTTATTTTGTAGTGTACTATAATCTATATTATAATTATTAATTATACATTATAAACACAATAAAAACTATATAATTAATATTATTCCTATATGTACCAATGTCAGTTTTATGCACAAGTTTGAATCTATTTGTACACATTTGTCATTTAACAAGATATACTCGGCGTGTCGGTCTGGCACACCCAGCTACCCGGTAATCACTGGGGGGTCCCGTGGATATTTTTCAATATTAGAGGCCCATATTCAAAAGGGAAAATGTATATTTAAATTATTTGAGACTTGGATTCAAGTCCAATCAATTTGGAAACATTGAATATTGTAATAATTCAATCCTGGTTTAAGCATTCATATTATATTGTATTGGTATTGCCATTACTGATATTAAGGTGAATAAAGTTATTTATATATAACCTATTTAAGTGGAACCTTGTTTTAAGTTTTCAATACTTAGCTATAAAAGTTGAACATTTTATGAATTTCTAACTCAAAATAATTTGCGAACTTTCGTAATTTTTACGTATTTTGTCAATATTTCAACTTTAGATGCTTATAAAAAAAATTGTGACTATGAATTTTAATTTTTTTCATCTGTCGTTGAAACAATATACTAGGAACCTTCTATTAAATGTTCAAGCTTTTTTAACCAGCAAATAAAATTTTATTGATATTTATAGAAGAAAAAATGGAAACTGAAAATGTCCGTAAACAGCTCAAAATAAGTCAAAATATTTGGGAAATGTTGTGGTGCATAGAAAATGCTAATATAAACATTCAGTCAAAATTTCATGTAACTATGGTAATTTGTTTTAGAGTTTTCCCTAAAATAGAAAATTCCCGTTTTTCCTTAATTTTTGTTTTGTTTTTCACGTCGCTTTCGAAAACTACTGGGAAATTACTTTTGACCCCCCAAAGTACCAACTGGATTCACTTTCCTATCAGAAAAGATACTGTTGAAGAAAATCCAAGCATTTTACTGTCCTAAAAGGTGATGACAGACACACTATAAAAAATTTTTTTTAAAAAACACACATTATCAGAATCTAAAACTATACTTAATGATAAATCAAAAAGTTGAGCTTGAAAAAAATAACCTGTTGACTATGTCCAATCGAAAATGGAAATGTTTTGCAGAATAAAGTTCAAATTGGTTTATAGAGTTTGTAAACTAATAATTAAAATATTAAAAGCTTAAAACCATATCCCGTGGGTCAACTTCACAAAGCCCTCCGACATTGTCCGATTGGCAGTTGATTCGAAAAATGTTTTTATATTTTGAAAATTTATACTTCAAATAATTTCAACTATTGGTTTCTAGAATTGGAAAATCAATATTTAAGCTAATTATTATGCTATTTACACCATTGTATGGAATTACAAGTTAATAACAATAATATACATTTAATTTGATTATCATTCAGTTTTTCGTATATTTATTTATTAATAAACGTTCTTCCGATTTCACTCAATTGGCAGTTTTATGCACTTAAGTATGCCGATTTCACGAAACAATATAAATATTATTGCTATGCCACTTGCTTGCAATCAATCACATTTCAAGCATAAAACCATTGTTAGTTCACCTGATACATTACTCATACATTTTACAACTTAATAATCAATGACAACAATTACGCATTAACAATAGCTTATGGGAATAGGCAAGTATAATATGATGTAATTAAAAAATTTGCAGGAATGCATTAATAAAAACAAATAGGAATTAGGTAATGTACAATTATATATGAAGTGTATCGGAACCCAAGCACAAAATGATTGTGAATTATACAAATATAATAATAATATTTAATTATAATGACCAGCTATTGATAAGAATGTTTCTATTTTATTTTCAATCAAAATATAAGTATTTAAATATATAGATACACAGGTGATCATCAAAAAAATTTTACTCAGAATAAAAATATGTCAGCAATAATAGTTATTGACTGAATAACGCATCAATTGGCATGGTGTGTGTTAGTGCTCACTAATTCTATCGTCACCGTCTCTGTTAAACGTGTGACCTTGTTTACGTATTCTGTAATCATTAATGTATCCCTTCCAAGCACAAGCAGCAATACGAAACCCATACAAACGCGAAAGAGATGGAATACAAAAATAAACAAATCATGTGTGCGATACCATAATGCTTGAAACACGGCGCAGTACTCGTTTACGCTTTAAAGTCAGAGGTCGTTGTAATTGTTTCAGATAAATATTCGGATCAAAAAATTCTGCTACCGTTAAACGAGCCGATCATGATTGCGTTTCTGATCGACTGTTTGGTCGACAACATTACCTGTCTTGGTTTGATCACGATTTTCACGGTCTTAGTCTACTATCATTCGACTTCGACGTTCGGTAAATGGCGCAAATTGAACATTCCGTTCGTACCACCAGTGCCACTGTTTGGCAACGCTTTCGGGATGATGATGAGACTCGAACTTCCGATAGACATGTCCGAGAGGATGTACTACAGGTTTTCGGACGTCAAGCTGTTTGGTTTCTACATGATGAGAGAACCAATACTGTTTGTCCGCGACCCGGAGCTCATTCACACGATACTGGTCAAGGACTTCTCGTACTTCACCGACCACGGTCTGGACTTGGACCCGTCCATGTCCGTGCTGGGCAACAGTCTGTTTTTCTCCAAAGGCCAGAAATGGAGGACAATGCGCCAAAAACTGACCCCGGGCTTCACGTCGGGAAAGCTGAAGGACACTTACTGCCAAATCAACGAGTGCAGTGACGAGATGGTGTCCGGCATCGTTGAGACGCTCGGTAAGACCGACCGAATCGACGTGAAAACTGCGACCACAGGTTTTTCCACCGACGTGATTGGCACGTGCGCGTTTGGCCTGAAGCTGGATGCGATCAAGAACGACGATTCAGACTTCCGCCGGTATATCAGGAGAATGTTCCAAGTCACCACGAAGCAGTTGATCGTCCAGGTGCTGATGATGTTTTGCCCCCGGGTGATCAAGTTGTTGAAAATACAAATGCTTCCGGTGGAGGCTACCGATTTTTTCTATAAGCTGTTCAGGGACGTCTTTGAGTACCGCGAAGAGCACAACGTGGTCCGTAACGATTTGACGCAGACCCTTATGCAGGCCCGTAAAGAATTGGTGTTGAAAGAGAACTCGACCGGCGAAGGTATTATTGTTACGTTTAGGATGATCGATAAAGTATTTAAGGCACAACAGCATAACATCTTAAGTTATTTTGTTTGGTAAAACAAATAGGAAGCTTATACTATAATAGACATTAGCTGTATAGTATAATCAAGTGTTTTCTAAACAGCAATAAATTCTTGACAGATAAATATTATACTACAACCATAGAGGCTACTCGATATTTTCCCTCTACTAGGAAAATCTATGAATCATAAACATGTTTTTGTTATTAAGTAACCATAACAAAGAAAACCCTACTAATAATTGGTCAAAAACAAAAATACGTGTATCCAGCCCAAAAACATGTTATGAAAAGGTTGGTAAGTACCTATGTGCCATTCTGCTATAAAGTATGAGTCGGGTGTGCCTCTTTATTGAGTAGACACTGTAAATTATCTGTGATGTACTGACGTATTAAGTTTTAAGAACACCTAGTGTTCATTGTTCTAATCTACACAATTAAACAATAAATTATTACCTGTACAAGTTACAACTAATACAGCTTTTAAGTGTTAATGGAAAATGTTCATTGTTTGATAGAAACCGACATCATTGGACTTTGTGATAAAACTATTACAGGTATATAAATAATAAATATATATTGTTTTATTGGAGATGAAACTATATGTTTAACTTGGTTATAGTGATAAGTGATAACTTTATGATTTTTTTCTGTACATTTCAAAAAGATCAATATATTTTATGTGGTAACGAAATTTACTGACATTCAAAAAATATTTACCAACAATTTACCTATGACTTCTGAATTTTAAAGCAAAATATTATAAATACATTTAAAAATGTGTTCAATACCAGTAAAAGAATTTTAATACTTATCTAATATTATACTGCCTTAATTTACTTACAGGGGTTATAAGTTTTAACAAGCTATAGCTATAGACACTTCCTCACGGTATAGTGTATGTAAGCTTTCACTTGGGCTCAACTATTTATTTAAGTAGCGGTCTAAACGTAGATACAAAAAAAAAATCGGAAAATGTTACTTTTTACTTACATAGGTCGAAATAATAGTCTTATTGATTTAGGATTTTTTAATATCTTATTTTCAGATAAATTCACTGACACTGATATCATCGGAAACGCGATACTCATGTTCGCCGCTGGATCAGAAACTGTGTCGTCTATGCTTTCTTTTTGCCTGTACGAATTAGCATTTAACAAAGAAATCCAAGACAAATTACGAGCGGAGATATGTGCGATGAATGCAAAACACGACGGACAGTTAAACAACGATTACTTGATGGACCTCCATTACACTACCATGGTTTTGGAAGGTATGACGATATTTACGAATCACATACGAGATGATCAATCATATTATCACTCCCTTATTTTCTTCAACAATAACGTACCTATTTCAAATTTTACTATTAGGATTTTTTCAATATACCTACACCTACTCCACCTACTCGATGTTCATATTTTAAAATGGCCGTAATACAGAGGCTTCTAATATGAAACACAGACGCTATTGGTTAATTGTAACTCTACAGGGCAATAACTAACCTTAAGTACTTACCTGATACAAAAAACTCAAGAATTTGAAAATATTATGGTCTTAAAGTATATATTTAAAAATTCCGAAAAATCATTATTTAAGGCAAAAATGAGGGTGAGCTATTCTTTGGCAAATCTCTTTGTGTACTATCATTCAATCCTATTCACCTAGGATTTAAGTTGTTAATTTCTGCAATTTTATTATATCAATTAGTGAATTATATCTCACGTTTATTAAAATTTCCGCGCCTAGAGCAGTCCATAATCTTTACACATGCTTAAATAAATATATTATTATAATATATTTAATGCAATTATTAATTTGTTCTCATCCAACCTATATCAGTTTACAATAAATTTGTCTTTAACTAATTTTGCAAAATTAAATTAAAGTGAATAAAAGATATTTCTGTGAACTATATTAATATAACGTAAGGTTTATTTTAAATTTCAATTGGTAAATTATCGGATTTCAGAGACTGGTCGAAAGTACACCATTGCTTTTAGCTTAATGAGAGAGACGACAAAAACTTACACCCTACCCGACAAATCACTTGTTATTGAAAAAGGACAAAAAATCTTTATACCCATGTTCAGCATTCATCGTGATCCAAAATATTATCCCGATCCGTTGAAATTTGATCCGGAAAGGTTTTCTGTGGAACAAAAATCTCAACGACCTAATGGCACTTACATGCCGTTTGGCGACGGACCTCGACTGTGCATAGGTAATGTTATTGTTTATGGTTTTATAGTATTTAAATATTATTTTTATTATTTCTGGCATCGATTAATAATGAGTGTGTAATTTATTGGTCAGTTGAACTAACAATTTTGATACTATATAGGCAAACGATTTGCTGAATCAGAAATGAAATTGGCCCTGTCAAATATATTGTCAAAATTCGAAGTCTCGCCGTGTGAACAAACCGAAATTCCTCTTGAACTTTTAGTCGCATCATCCAGTTTAATATCACCGAAAAATGGTGTTGTGCTAAAATTTAGACCAATCGATGAGCAATAATCATGAATTATTTGTAAACTTGTAATAATAGTCTGTAACTCATTTGTTATTGTGTTGATATGGTGTAAAGTGATAATTTGTATTATTTAAGAACAACTTAAAAGTTATAGTTTTTACTTTTTTTAAATACCTACTGATTGCTGTTGTTATTTGGTAGAATCCTAAAAATCATACGTACTTATACATCGTGTCGTCGTAGTATGGTACCTTTATTTGATAGTGCTTTCGACTATATATTATTATTAGCTAATACTGCCAGGCGTTGCCCGTCACATATTAAATGCCAGTTGATTAGAAAGTTTAAGAAGGTTTAATGTACCTAAACTGCACAGATTTTCAATACAGCTATATGGATTGTTTTGATCGAATATAGAATTCGGGTCTAAAATTATATAATCTAATCATAAAAGTTTATGACTATTTTATTTTCTGTAATCAATGGCAACAATATATAAATAAAAAAACGATAGATTCTCGTGAGTTAAATATATTCGACATTGCAGTGTTTAAAAGTAAAAAATAACCTATAGTTTCATACGGACTTTGCTGAATCTATTTTATTAAAATATCGAACAAAAACTATGGATTTGCATAACTAACGGTCATCCTTTTTAGGCTTTTGATTTAGTATAGATATATTTATTAACTATAGCTGATCCTGCACGTTGTAAAAATTAAATAATGCCAGTGGATTTACCTTGTCTTAAACTCCTTGAAATGTAAACGGTACATTTTTTTAACTAAATTAATTTTGATTAAATTTAAAAATACTGCTTCGAGATCTACCACATCGGTACCCATCTACCACATTTCAGAACCACGACACTATATTGACTGTAGATCGGTTACACAACTGTTACTCACACACCAACATGCAATCATTGCCTTTTATTAATATAGATTGATAGAATGTTTTTCTTCAATTTTCATTTAATTTTTTATGTCACTGCTAATTTATTACCAACATTCCATTTGTGTTTGTATAGACCTATACGTTTATACATTTTGATAGACCATACCAGCTATAAAAAATTGTAATATAATATGTATTTTAATATATTATCAAAAATTACAATAAAATAACAACACTTTTTGATCGATAACTGCATAATAACATTAGGTACATATTTTTAGCATGATTGATCGTCTAGGTCACTACTTAACTAATTTTAAGACGATAAGATGATTCTTATCCACACTTCATATGGGATTTAAGTTCTGAAACTATAACGTTAATAACATATACCGTTGAATCTTTTCATTAACATTTCAAAATTAACTTCAATATAAAATTATAAGATCCATGATTTGTTTAATTTTTTTTAAATATATAATCAAATATTTACAATGAAATTAAAAACAAAGGTAGGTATATGGAAAGCCAAGAAATAGACATTAGTTGGACAAAATTATATTCCTAATGAAATATAGAAATACCCTGTTTTGGTTTTGTATAATCTACGTATCTCATTGTATTAAAAATAGTTATTTTGGGCTCATTAATAATATTAGTATTAAACTGACTGACGATTGTGTAGAAATTTATGTTTATGTATTTTTATTTTGTTTTATTATTTCGTGACTTTATTGAATGAATATAATATAATATAATATTCGACTTTTATTTGTATTGCTAAACTTGTAAATGTAATACAATTATTCCTCATAAGTCATAAGCATAGGCGGAACTAAACCAATATTTTTAGGGATGCACAAATTATAAAGATTTCCTGTATAATTTCCCCTTAACACTTGAATATCTACTAACAATAATCACAAATGTATATTTATGTACCAGGGGCGCACCCAGGATTTTGTTTTGGGGAGGGCTAAATTCACATAATTTTAATATTAATAGGTAGTATTTATTTTGAAATATGTACAGAAATAAATATATAAATATATATAAATATTAAAATATATAACTATATTTTTAATATTTTTGTGAAACAGTAACAGTAAACACTGACTGATTTGAACTAGAATTAGACTAGCTCTAAACAGGGAGACTTAGATCGTTAATTTCTTGTTAAGTTCCTAGTTTTGTTTTTTTTTTAACACTGCATGTAGTATGGACGTAAATAGGGGCAGTCATAGTGGAGAGCTATACCTATTTGGCATAAATTTTTTTGTATCGTGTATTGGCCACAAACACAATATAAATAAACGTACACTAACAAGTACACTATTCATATTTATTATTACAACAAATAAAAGATATGCTGGCTCAATATCTAGTATTCTGCCTAGTTATTAATTGTATTATTTCTGTTTTAATTTTGTTCAAAATGCATTTGTGTAACATAATACTTACATCAGTATTCAGTTTTTACTTTCGTTAATAATATTTATATTTGTTCGACTACTGTTAACATTTTTATTTTCTAAAAGTTTTCCCATATTACTTTTATCTTTTTTAAGTTTCTTTTCGTTCGTAAAGTATCAGTTCTTTTTATTTTCAGCATAAAACAATTACACTTTTTAGATTCATAGACGCACGCACATCAACAATAAATGCACTTATTAACGAAGGATTATATCTCTCAGGCCTCATCGGTATCTGAAGACTAAATATTTTTATGTATCTACGATATTTTATCAACCGTCAAGCTTTATAGAAAAATTATTAAGTCCAAGTTATGATAAAGAATAAGTAAGCTAAACTATAGATGCCTAAACCAAGTAAGATGATTATATGTATTAAGTATTTTGTAAAATGCATTTATTTAATATTGTCGTCCCCTCACCATTTCATCTCCACACCAAACATATCAGCTATCGCCGGCCGGCGTCACACACACAAAATAAACACTTTGTCCCAAGACCGTAAAAAAATGTTTATGAATGAGTTTCACAAAATTTAAAACAAGTTGAATAAAGAAATGAAGTCCAATAGCAATAGTGAGTGGTAGGAGACTTAGAAATAGGACTCTGGTAATCTCTAAATAATAATACATAAATTATAATACAAATAATAAAAATATGATAAATATAATAATAATATAGTTATAGTTGTAATATTAGAACAGTGTTGAATTTTAGATAAGGATCTGGGGATATCATTCTAATAATTATTTGAAAATACTGTATTTTCACTCATCTTGGACTTATAATGCTGTGTGGCAAATATAAATTACTCGGCACCAGAAGCCTAGCCGCCTTTCCAGAGGCTGAAACACATTAAAATTCAACGCTATAGCAAGCTGAAAATGTGCGAATGCCGCGTTACGACAAAATTAAAAATTTTGAAATTAAACCTGTTCAACCTCGTTAAATTCGATATTTGTTTATTTATATTAAAATATGTGTTTAAAATGAAAAATGTTATACAAGAGTAGTGCCGTTTTCGCTGTACCGATCTGGTACTTAAATTAAAATACAATTGTAGTCGACCGGCGTTCGAGTGTTCTCGCTTGCGATGTGGATTAGGCCTACAGGGGACACCACAATAAAAAAAACGCGCCAAGTATAATACCTCATCTTTTTAAACAACATGGACGATGTGATAACATAATGTTGTTTAACAAGCATAATATGGGTGGTGTGGAAACTTATACAACGATGCAGTCCTGTAGGATCATATCCTATAGTTAGGTACATCGATTACATCGAAGTAATATAGACAACACAAACACTAATAAGATCAAAAACCTGTATAGCATAAGACCACGGTAGAGATTGAAGAAATATATTTTTGGAGCTATACACATCACAGGTGGTTTAAGTGCGAAACCTCGGGGGCTGGAGAACTGTTAGGACGCTATCCCCCTCATGACAAAATCACATTTAAAAAAATATTTTTTTCTAATCTTCAGTGCGGAGCCATTTGTACAGACGGAAAGTAAAATATTTAAAAAAACTAATATTTTCTTATGAATTATTCATATTATAATAGTATATTCAATAATCAAGACAACTGAATAGCAAATTATAAACAAGCAGACTTAAAATTTTTTAAACTTTATTTTAAATAAATAATAGCCGATAAATAATTTTTTGCTTGATCAAAAAACTTGAAAATGTAAAACATGTTTCATATAAGTTGTCAATAATGCAATCTACAAAAAATATTAAGTGAAAATCCACAATATTTTTTTATGAATTTTTAAATTATTTTTTATTTAGAAATTCATAAACATTTTTCTTTTCTTAGCTATCATTAAACAATTTAATAGAAGATTCCCCACAAGATTTTCCACCTTTAACAAAAAAAAAATAAAAATAAATGGTAGCATCTATTATTTTTTTTTTTTTAATTATTATATTTAATTATTTATACAATTATGGCTGACACCCCGTCTTCGCTCAGTATTGTGTTTTGTAAAGAATCAAATTATTTTTTAACTAAAATTAAAAATAATTTTATTTCCATATATTAAAAGCAGTTAAATTTTCTTTTGAAGTTGGTTTGGGGCTTTTGGGCCCATTATAAATTACTGGTTAGGTTAGGTCATGAACCAGGACTACACTGGATACGTGTAATACGTAATCAAAGCCAGGTTATAGAGAATAAAAGTATCTAACCTATTCACTCTAAAAATCTTTCATCCCTTTTAAAGCTATCCCTAATTAGATATTTCTTACAATTTAATAATCTTCAAAAACGATTATAACTGTCATGTATTACAAAAAATAATTACCAATAAAAAAATATTAAAAATTTGAGCTTAAAACAAATTACTCGTAAACATTTTACAATAAAAAAATTAGGCAATTTTTTGCAAAACTAGTCTATCAATAATACTATTGTTTGTTCACATCACCTGATACATTGCTGATATATTCTATTACTTACTAATCAGTGACATCATAACGCATCAACAAGCTGATGGGAACGGAAATATTTAGCATTAGTTATGTAATTAAACATTTCGAGAGGAAACCGTTTATAAAAACAAATGGGACTAATGCATAATATATTATGAAGTGCCTGTTATAACTCAAACACAAGTATTGGTTGTGAATTATTTAATTATATTGTGTTGACTTATTGATAATAATGTTTTTTTATTTTATTTCAAATATAGGTATAATGAGCATTATGTTTAAATATAATATTATACTCTTACGGAGGTTATTAAATAACTGATAAATATAATTTTACTCAGAACAAAACGTAAGTTATTGTTTATTGACTACAATTAATAACATAATATTATGGACGGTTGATGAATTGAAACGGCGTGTTTGTGTGTTAAGTGCTCACGAATCATAGCGCCGTCTAGGACATATATATGACCTTGTTTTGTTGACCGCATTATAAAATCGCCTGCAACGTATCCCTTCCAAGCCATCCATGTGCTAAACTAAGCCTACATCATCAACAAAAAAAAGAAGAAATGGTAAAACATATAATGCTAAAATAAACAAAATATGCGTACGATACCAACACGTGTTCCAGTGCAGTACACGTTCTCACTTTCAAGTCTATGGTTGTCATAATTAAAAGATAATCGTGAAATAAAAACTACCATACATTTAAACAATTTGATCATGTTTTCGTTTCTAACCAACTTGTTGCTCGACAACGTCGCCTACCTTAGCGTCATCGCCGTTGCCCTGGGCTCCTACTATTATTCAACTTGGACGTACGGTAAATGGCGAAAATTGAACATACCGTTCATACCACCAGTGCCACTGTTTGGCAACATGTTTAAAATAATGATGAGAATCGAACATCCGATTGACCTGTCCGAGAGGATGTACTACCGATTTCCGAATGTTAAATGGTTCGGGATTTACCAGATGAGGGAGCCAATACTGCTGGTCCGCGACCCGGAGCTGATCCACACGATACTGGTCAAGGACTTCTCGTACTTCACGGACCATGGTATCGACGTGGACCCATCCATGTCCGTGCTGGCCAATAGTCTGTTCTTCTACAACGGCCGGAGATGGAGGACAATGCGCCAAAAGCTCAGCCCGGGCTTCACATCCGGAAAATTGAAGGACACGTACTGCCAAATCAACGAGTGCAGTGACGAGATGGTGTCAGGTATCGTAGATACTCTCGAGAAAACTGACCGACTGGACGTGAAAATGGTGACCGCTGGTTTTTCCACGGACGTGATCGGCACTTGCGCGTTCGGCATGAAGCTCGACGCGATCAAGAACGACGACTCAGACTTCCGTCGGTACATCAAGTTAATGTTCCAAGCCACAAAGAAGCAGTTGATCGTACAGGTGTTGATGATGATCTGCCCCTGGGCGATTAAGCTGCTGAAAATCCGATTGTTGCCAGTGGAAGCTACCGATTTTTTCTATAATGTGTTCAGCGACGTCTTCAAGTACCGCGAAGAGCACAACGTGGTCCGCAACGATTTGACGCAGACCCTTATGCAGGCCCGTAAAGAATTGGTGTTGAAAGAGAACTCGACCAGGGAAGGTATATATTATTGTTGAGACGAGGATAATTGATGAAGTATTTACGGCACAACGGCTTAAAATATGCGTTGTTTTGTTTGGTCGAAGATATAAGAATTACATGCTATAATATAAATAAACATATATAGGTAGGTAGCTAAATTATTAACAGATATTATAATACTAATATCATAGTAAAAAAAAGCGGGTAAGTGCCAAGTGGGTGTCCCTGTGCTGAATAGGTCACTACTGTAATGGATGGTGTTAGGTTTGAATTTATTATTTATTTACATTGCATACGAAAAACGATTCTGAGCGGATACGGTTTGTGTCAGCCAAGGATATTAATTTATACTATATATTGTTATGATTAATACTGTTTCCGCCGCATCACAATATAAACATATTAACTGTACCTAATAAGTAGAGTACGGATTTTAAAGCAATAAAAAACTAAAGAAAAGCAATAAAGGCACAAAGCTTTTTAAATGTTCCAAAAAAGCTTTAAAATGGGTTTAAAAAAAAAAACCTATTACAAAAAAAGTATTAAAATTATTTTTAGTTCATTAAATTTTTTTTTAAAAAAGGTATTATAATAAATTTATTTACAAGTGTGCTTCTTCGAGTTTTTCTTCTTCCACAGCTATTAATCTGTAAATTAAATTTATTCTTTTTAAGATAATTTATAAAAAATAAATTAAATAATAATTATAAAATGATTTTTTTACCTATATCATCGGAGTTGCATTAGGTATATCATATTACACATATTTAGTTGTTGGGCCAAAAGGGCAGTGGATATTTCATAATTATTATGATGATATTTTGTTGTGCCAGAAGGAGCGCATATTATTTGTATATTATTATATTTCTATACGAGTTAACAGCTCGAATAGCTACTCTATATTATAATTTATTCTGGTTGGCCATGATTGCTAGACTTTTATAATTATTGTTGAATTGTATACTTTTGTGTTGCTGTGATTTATTCCTATATTCTGTACCATCAATTATTATTCAAATACAGAATTAAACATTAATTCACATACCAGAAACCTTGTTACCATCTCTTACTACTAGTTTTAATTCTATACACATCCACACACATACACACACTTACACACAAATACACATATAAATTGTGCAACACTCACTACATAGCACAACAGTAAAAATTTCCCGGTGATCTCTACTGTTCGAGCTATTGTCGATTTTCTTAAGTCCATCTCTTACTGTATGTGTAGGTACTATAGGCTATAGTCGTCAAAAGTATTAGTATCGTCCATATCTTAACTCATATAATATTATAATATACGTCGTATTATATCGATATATGTATCTATATACATAATTATATAATTAGATATAAAAGTTAAATACTTCATATAACAACATATTAATAAAGCAATGTTAAAGTAGATAGATGTCATAATAGATTATGGTTTATGGAGCAAAAATATTTTTACAAAAGTACTAATTATGTATAGTATATTTTTATGAAAAAAAAACCTAAAACGTGACTTTGTGAAAAAAAACCCGAAAAAAAGTGCAATTCTGTGCAAAATAAAAGTAAACATTAAACTGATCTACATTTCTTGATTTCGATCTGTAGCTTGTTTCTGATGCAATTGCACGAAAATTCGGTATTTAGTGATGACACACAAAAAAACAAATAGCTCCGCTCAGAATGTAAAAGTACATCCCTGTGAAAAAAAATACGTAAGGTCACCATACTTAAATTTAATGTAAAATATTATGTAATACACTTATAATTATTAGAATTAATTTATATTTTAGGGCGGTATAAAAAATACAATAATAAAAGTGGTAATTAAGGTTTTTTTAAAAAAAATTTTTTTTGTAGACAAGTTCACCGACAAAGATATCATCGGTAACGCTATACTCATGTTCACTGCTGGTTCGGAAACTGTGTCGTCTATGCTATCTTTTTGCCTTTACGAATTGGCGTTGAACAAAGAAATTCAGGACAAATTACGAACGGAAATATGTGTGATGAAAGCAAAACACGACGGACAGTTAAACAACGATTATTTGATGGACCTCAATTTCACTACTATGGTTTTGGAAGGTATTACGATATTTGAGAATTATATACAAGGTGTATCAATCATTATATTATTTATATTCTCACCCAAATATTTTCTTCAGTAAATTAGTTAGGTATTCAAAATCTAAGAATAAAAGTTTAAATGAGGATTTATCGAGTTATTTATAACTTTGTGTATTAAAGTTGATAATTCTACAATAGTAGGCTTGGAAGACTATCATTCAACTCTAAAGACCTAGAACCTTGGTTATTATTTTGAATATTTTCTGCTATATTTTATTCTATAAATTATATTTTCTGTATCTTAAACTCATAAACTTATAGAAATCCATAATTACGCGTTTAAATAAATATGATGGGCACTCTACATTAAATGCAATATTTGATTAGAACATTTAGAACAAATAATTAAATATTGTGTACAATATAATTTTCTAATCAATTATTAGTGTTACGCATAATGCATTTTATATTTCAATATGTCCGTTTATCGTATTTCAGAGACTGGTCGCAAGTACTCCATTGCTTTTAGCTTAATGAGAGTGGCTACAAAAACATACACTTTACCCAACGAACCACTTGTTATTGAAAAAGGACAAAAAATCTTCATACCTATGTTCAGCATACATCGTGATCCAAAATATTATCCCGATCCGTTGAAATTTGATCCGGAAAGGTTTTCTGTGGAACAAAAATCTCAACGACCTAATGGCACTTACATACCGTTTGGCGACGGACCGCGACTGTGTATAGGTAATAATAACATTATAATTCTTGAATTTATCGTTTTTTAATAATATTTTATCATTTTACATTTTGCACGCCGGTGAACACTACGTGTTTAATTTATTGGTTGAAGGAATTAACAATTTTAATATTATGTTGTATAGGAAAACGATTTGCCGAATCAGAAATGAAATTGGCCTTGTCCAACGTATTGTCAAAATTCGAAGTCTTGCCGTGTGAGCAAACCGAAATTCCCCTCGACTTAAGAAGTGAATCAACCAGTTTTATTTCACCCAAAAATGGTATCGTGTTAAAATTTAGACCGATCATTACACAATAGTTACCTATATGAGTTGTTTGTATTTCCATAATATCATTAAACAACTAATTTAGTATATTATGTTTGTTTTATTGTTTTAATGTGGTTTAAAGTGATCATATGGACACTAAAAGTTATCACTTAACCATATCCTAACTTGTAAGTTACTATTTATTATATGTATACCTATTGATTACCTAATGATTACCGATGTTAATAATGATAATAATAAAAAGGTGGACAAAGTGCAATGATTTAAAATAAATTTATATTTAACACATTTATTACAGTCATTTACTCAATGACGATAGGTATACTTATACCTACTGTACAGCAGAGTGGTTACCTATACTGGCTACTTTCCCCGTTTTTATAATTGATTACAAAGTGTAGATCTATAAAAGATGACTTAACACCACTGAATATTAAATTAGATCTGTTGCTCGGGTGAATCTTATATAATGTATTGTTATATCGGATAATATTAAGAGCTATGTATTATTTATGTATAACTCACAAAATATACGTATAATCAATTATGAATGAATTCATTAAATTGTTAATAATGTATTGTCTATATTTACTCGTATAAACTTATTTCTTTCAGTTTGTTTGGTGCTTTGGGTCCCAATCATGGGCCAAAACGACACTGGATATCGCATTCGCAGATAGATTATAGACAAAATAATTATACCTACTTAACCAATAACCAGTAACCAATTTTAACTAAGATAGCCATCATTCTCGTATAAAAATCTCTTGCCAAATCGAGCGTGTTCGTACATTCCTAAAATATGCTTTTTTTGTACTGTACATTGACTGCCTTCCACACGATTATACACCAGTTCTAGTGAAATTAAAATTGGAGACTTTGAGTGCTAGAAGAACAAAGGCTAACTTGGTTTTCTTATCGAAACTCTTGAGTGGGGAAGTTATGTTAGGGAGGTTTAATTTTAATGTTTCCGGTGCCAATTTGCGCAACTTTTCTCCTTTCCGGGTCCCGCTCTGTGCGAAAAATTATTTATAGGTATAATGAACCCATTTTACGTATGATGATATTAGCTAATGGATCCAATTACATCAAAACAACTTCTTGTGTCTAATTATTTTGTATTATATTATTATCTGTTAAATATTATGTATGTAATAGTGTATTATTATTATTAATTATTAATGTCATATAAATGTCAAGGGCCTGTCCCGTCTACTATTATAATGGATAAATAAATAAATAAATAATTAAAACAACATTTATTTACCTATGAGTGATTACTCCATACTCAATGATTAGATCCGTTTTTTATTTATTATAATTATTTTATATTGTTCTGGCTTTAGTATGCAGAGTACAACAAAAAATTATTGTTTTTTTTTTTAATAATTATTAGAACCACAAGTATTAAATCTAAGTATTTGTTGATTAGATAACATGGTTATGTCAAAGTCATAACCGTATAGTGTAATACCTATTAATATATAATAAATAAGGTTTTGTTTGTATTATTTTACCTCTAGTATTATGAATATTAAAATAATCATAATAATTCTTGAACATATTAAACAATTCATTTCAACAGTATTCAACACTATTTTTAATAGGTAGTGATAAAAAACCGTTAAAAAATTCAAACAGTATTTGAAAAAATACAATACCACAGTATTAGAAACTACATTTGAAATTGGAATAAAAAATACCACAAAAGTCCCTGGTAATAATATTTTTTGAGTAAAAAAAAAATAATTAAATTTTTTATTGAACTAGAAATTGTGAATACCTAGACAATAATTTTATATTTATATATTTCTGTAAAATCAACTTGTGGGAGCCTCGTATTAAATTAAAAATCCTAAGCTACTATAAAATTGAAGATTGTATTTGTCTTTAACGTCAATATAACAATTTGTAATTGTTGAGAATTTGTGATTACCTCTTAACATTTTTTAAAAATTCGAACGCTTAAGAAATTGGCGCTTGTATATTTTTGAGATTTTCAAATTTCTGTAAAATCAACTTATGGGGATCTAGTATTCAATTTTCAAGCTTTTTATTGAATATAAAAATGTTTAGGTAAAATACTACAATACAAAATAGATGGACAAGTGGGAACCATTTGCTGTAGGTATATTAGGTGTCTAGTGCAATAGTTGATCACTGTAATGAATATGTTGAATTTTAATTCAATGATAAAATATAATTGTACATGAAAAATAAATTCTGAGCTGAGACGGCCTGTCATCCTAGATCACTAAGTATATTTTATAATATGCTTTCTATTAAAGTAATTTATTTAAATTTTTTCCGAATCCATTGCATTTATTATATTGTTAATATTTAATTACTAAAATAGCGTATATTTATATCGTATTATACATATAATTGCTATGTGATTAACTTTGGGTCAATGTACAGTTAGAACAGTGTGAATAGGTTCATAATGGTACCTACGACTTACCTATAAATAGGTAGTACCATACAATTAATCTAAATATTTTGATATTGTCATTGCTGAACACTACTTTTGATATTTTTAATTTGTAGTATGAGTGGCTCATGCATTTTGGAACTGTGTATTAAATTGTCAAGTTTTTTGACCTAGCCATATAAATATATAATATAACTCATAAGAACATTAATATTTTATATGTTTAACTTTTTTTTAAATTTTCATAGAAAAACATCTTATTGGGAATCGTTTATTTTATTTTCAAAGTAATTAAATAATAAAAAAAATGTTTAACGTTGGGTAGAAAAATTTTATAATTAATGTTTTACCGAGTTCAATAGGTACTTAAATTGTATTACAATATTTTCTACTATAATCTACGCTCTCGAACCTTATCAATCAAAAGTATGGTTCAGATATTTTGTTATCATCAGAATACCACTTCTTCTCCGTGCACAGGCAAAATGAAACCAATAATCGTGAAAGAGATGGACGTAAAAAAAACCTCGATAAACCAACAGTCGTAATGTATGCGTATCATATTGAGCAGTTCTTCTCTGAACTTTCACAAAAGCGGTGGCATTCGAATCAAGAACTATACAGAAGTTGTAAAACAAGTCGATCATGATATCTTCTTTAATCGACTGTTTGGTCAACAACGTTACGTGTCTGAGTTTGATCGCCATATTCACGGGGTTATTCTATTATTATTCGACTTCGACGTACGGCAAATGGCGGAAATTGAACCTCCCGTACGTACCACCCGTGCCACTGTTCGGCAACACTTTCAGAATGATGACGAGACTTGAACACCCGATGGACACGTTTGACAAGATTTACAACCATTTCCCGGATTCCAAACTATGTGGGTTCTATCAGATGAGGGAGCCGATGCTCTTGGTCCGCGACCCGGAGCTGATCAACACGATACTGGTCAAGGACTTCTCGTACTTCACCGACCACGGTATCGACATAGACACGTCCACGTCCACTCTGGCCAAGAATCTTTTCTTCGCCACGGGCCAGAAATGGCGGACGATGCGCCAGAAGTTGAGTCCGGGCTTCACGTCCGGCAAGTTGAAGGATGCGTACTGCCAAATCAACGAGTGCAGCGACGAGATGGTGTCCAGCATCGTCGAGACGATCGGTAAAGACACCGACCGTATCGAATTGAAAGAGATAACTGGCAGGTTTTCCACAGACGTGATCGCCACGTGCGCGTTTGGCCTAAAGCTCGACACGATTAAAAATGGCGATTCAGAATTCCGCCGGTACGCGAAGTTGTTGTTTCAGACCACCACGAAACAGATGATTGTCATGGCGCTGTCGACGATCTGTCCCTGGCTGATCAAGATCTTAAGAATACAATTATTTTCGTTGGAAGCTACCAATTTTTTCTCTAAGGTGTTCGTCGACGTCATCAAGTATCGCGAGGATCACAAAGTGGTCCGGAACGATATTACTCAGACCCTGATTCAGGCTCGTAAAGAATTGGTGTTGCAGGAAATCTCCACCACCGAAGGTATTATAATATTATTGTGGTCGCAGCGATACTGATCAAAGCAATATTTTTAAGTCACGAAATCTTAAGATTGTACGTTTATTTTTTTTATTTGAAAAATTACATATTGATGGATAAAACAGCTGATATAGGTAAAGTTTAATATGAAAACAAATTAATTGTGACATAATAATAATAAGACTATACTATTATTACCTATGGGTTTATAAAAATAATTGAAATATTTTATGACCTTTCATTTTTAATTACTATAACTTTTTGCAGATAAATTCTCCGACGATGATATCATCGGTAACGCTGTTTTTTTGTTCTCCGCCGGTTCAGAAACCATTTCGTCTCTGCTGTCTCTTTGTCTGTACGAATTAGCACTGAACAAGGAAATCCAAGACAAATTACGTGAGGAGATATACTCGATGAAAGCAAAACACGATGGAAATTTTAACAACGATTATTTGGTGGATCTCCGTTACACCAATATGGTATTGGAAGGTATATATACGTAATAATATTAAACTATCATTCAACATTTCGACTAGTGCATCGGTTATTATTAAGTGCATTGTATGCAATATGTAAAAACTGCACAGATGGAAATATCGAATTCAATTTGTTCTTCTCAAGAGATTTTCCTAACCACATCTAAAATCGCCATCTTTCTTACGCTATTAATATACCAACATTACGAAGGTACCTATTACAATTTTCGAGAATAATATTTTATTATATTATCATTCAACTCTAAGGGCCTTGCAGGTTGTTACTACCTGAGTCGCAAAAACAATGTGTACCTAATGACGATTTAACTGTTTTATTTGTCTTAAGTGAATGTTATATCCGTCTTAGTTGAGCATTGTATATCGAAATTTATTTTCAGCAGTTTCAATTTTGGAATGTAAGGTAAGCCTCGAATATTGGATTTTTACGATATATTAGTTTGAAAGCGAGTTATGAGTACATAAAGTAAAATATCGTATCAACCAAAGAAGGAACACAAAATATTAAAATGTTCTTAGTTTCCTATCTACTTAAAAAAAAATATTTAATCCCTGTAAAAATCTTTCCAAAAAACAATAGTCACTAACGTCACTATAGATCCCGGTGGGTGACCACCAATAGGTTTTGCTATCCTTGCCTAATCCTTTCCCAATAATCAATATACACTTATTCTGAACCTACCCTACAGTAAAAACCAAATAATACTAAGTTGATGTCTTAAAATAAAAAAATCTTATATGCACTTTGTAAAATAAAAAAAATATATATAAAAGTTATTTTGTAGACAATTAATACTACGTAACTAATGTTATATTTCAAATTGTCGCATATCATATCTCAGAGACTGGACGCAAGTACTCCATTGGATTAAGCATAGGAAGAGTGGCTACAAAAACATACACTTTACCCGACGAATCATTTGTTATTGAAAAAGGACAAAAACTCTTTATACCGATGTTCAACATACATCGTGATCCTAAATATTATCCCGATCCATTGAGATTTGATCCAGAAAGGTTTTCAATGGAACAAAAATCTCAACGACCTAATGGCACTTACATACCGTTTGGTGAAGGACCTCGTCAGTGCTTAGGTAATATTATAATTTATAGTTTACTCGTATTTCAATATTATAATATTATTATAATATTATTATAATATTACTCACAAACATGATAAATATTATCCATGGATAAAATATTCACCTATGTGTAGTTTAACGGACGATCGAGTTTTCAATTTGTGTATTGTATCTTATAGGCAAACGATTTGCCGAGGCAGAAATGAAATTGGTTCTGTCAAAAGTTTTGTCAAAATTTGAAGTACTACCATGTGAACAGACTGAAATTCCTCTAGACATAAGAAGTGGATCAGGATTACTTTCACCAAAAAACGAACTTGTGTTGAAATTTAGACCAATCATTGAGCATTAATCATAACTATAATAATTACTCACACATTATTTGTATTCCAGAAATAATAACACAATATGTGGAATCGAGTTAATCATGACGTGTACCCACCATGTGGCCATAAAATTTAACATTATTAAACTAAGCAAGCTTGAGCATGGCCAACAATTTACAGTATAATATTTTATATCAATTTTTATAATAATTATAATAAAACTAACTGTCACACATGTGCTCCGCCCCTGTGGCTCCAAAAATCCTGTCTTTTTATCTTGCAGAGTATTTTATTTTTTATGGAGAGTAATTGAACTATATATGCAGAGTAGTGTAAAACTGTTAAAAACTTATCTTAACTTTTCCGTTACTCGTAAAAAAAATTCTGATGTTCAACTCCTTTTCAGTGTAATAAATGATGTGTAAGCAATATCTTTTTAAGTGTAAGTTATATTATATTTTAATGTATAGCCATCTCGACCGGCGTTATCCCGTGAGATTCGCAGCAGTATGTTATCACTTATTAGGTAGGCAGTCTACCTGTGCTAGATAGCGGAGACCATGCTGTTTGTACCGGTGGAAGACATTAGCACCAAAATGAGTTGGTATCGTACGAAAGCGCAAAAATCCTAGATACCTGTATGCCACACTTAATAGATATTACATTTAGAACTAGGTATATATTATATTTTAACAATAATTAACAACTAAAACTATAACAATCATAACCAATAGCAACCTTACAATAAACAAAAATATATTATTATTTAGTTTATTTATTTCCTGTGCAGATGGTGCCACTATTGTCTTTTTGACTTCCAGATTTCCTACTTTTCCGGTGGATTTTCCTAAAATGTTCTTTCATAAGAACCTTGTCCTGACAGTAGTTATGAACACAAAAAAAAAAATAAGCCTTTTCGGTCAAGCCGTTTTGGAACCAAACCGTGACACGAAGTCTGGACTTGCTTTTATAGTATAGATTATTTATTATAGCCTGTTGAATTAATATTATAATATTATTATTTTTTATTCGTTTCTATCGTGGTACACAAAGTGTTAGAAATTAAAATCCCCTTTTTAGAGGTTTTTCGTAATTTGTCAGTGGTTTTTCCAGGGGCATTAAATATAACTATTGAGAAAATCAAAAATTACCTCTCTAAAGTACCATAATCTTGTACCAATTTGCTAAAAGGTAAGATACTATAATATGGTGAAATCAAAGCACTCCTTCTGGTAGACATTTTTTATACAGGATAAAAAAAAATAAATAAAAAATAAACAATATTAAAAAACCACTAGCTTCGTCGCTCAGGCTCAAAATCTAAAATATTCTGGTCATGTTTTTATTGGAAATGTTTTTTTTAGACTGTTTATTTTTTCTACGTCACTGGTAAGTGGTAATTTATTATCACCATAAAAGTTGTGTAGGCTTATAAATTAAGACGTTTTGGTTTACTATGTTGGATTATGCTGGCAATGGTTCTTATAATATATTTTAATTATTAAATAATATACACCAAACATTGTTTAAGAGAATAAAGCTGCAAAAGCTGCAATACCCATTTAATCAATAGACGGTACACAAAAAAATTCTCAAAATATTTGCAATAATTTTAAGGTATTGTTCATCACATATTACCGCGAACCTTAAATGCGTTCAAAAAAGTAGTAATTATACATAAAGTAATTATAATAATATTACTAAATAACAATGATTTTTCCTGGCACAAAATAGTTTAAACACCTCATCACGAATAGAAAAATAAATAACTAATAGCAATGAAAATAAATAACGCAATTTTCTTTACTGTGTTTAATTGACTGAATGGAACATCAATTGACGAATCATTAGTCAAGTACGTCTATGCGCGTTCAGTGCTCACGAACCATATGGGTCAAGCTGCGCATGACCTTGCTCACATATTTTTATTGTAATCATCAACGTATCCCTACCTCCATGTACAGCTGCAAAACGAAACAAATAACCACGAAAGAGGTAGGATAAAAAAAAAGTAAATAAATAAAACAAACTCGACAATAGTCGCGATACAAGCGTAATATTATTATCAGTGCAGTGCAGGTAGTGCTCGTGTATAAAGTTTTCATTAGGTATATGACGGTGGCAGTCGTAATTTTTTAAACCGACAAACCATAGGCGTGCGCAGCCTCCGGTTTCAGGGGCAGCAAGAGATTAATTCGGCCCATTTTTTAAATTCACCATTAAAACCAGCCCATAGTTTTACTTTTTTTACTATTGGATATCAAAATTAAAATTGTATTGGTTATTTGTTTTTTTGGATAAAAGGTTTTATAGTAAGGTACTAAGCCACTAAAGGTGTACTTTTCTACAAGCCTATATAAAATATTCATCTATAGTTTATCAAAACAAAAAAAAATTTTTGTGGAAGTTTACCGAGGCCCACTATTTAATATTTGCCGGCCCCGGTGGCCCCAAAGAAAGTCCAGGGGCAGCATATGCTGCCTCTGCTGCCCCCGTGCGCACGCCTATGCGACAAACCGTTCGGTTCAATAACTGTAAGTACGGGTGCCATCTAACGAGTCGGTGATGATTTCGTTTCTGGCCGACGGGTTGCTCAACAACGCCACCTGTATGATTTTCATGGCCGTCCTCGCGGGTTTCTACTATTATTCGACTTGGACGTACGGTAAATGGCGGAAATTGAACATCCCGTTCGTACCGCCGGTGCCACTGTTCGGCAACACGTTCAGAATGATGTTGAACCTCGAACATCCTACCGACACTTTCGAAAGGCTTTACTATCGGTTTCCGGACGTCAAACTGTTCGGTTTCTACCAGATGAGGGTGCCTATGCTGTTGGTCCGCGACCCGGAGCTCATTCACACGATACTGGTCAAGGAATTCTCGCACTTCACCGACCACGGTTTCGTCTTGGAACCGAGCACGTCTGTGGTGGCCAACAGCCTGTTCTTCGCCAACGGCCGGAAATGGAAGACCTTGCGCCGGAAGCTGAGCCCGGGCTTCACGTCCGGCAAGTTGAAGGACGCGTACGGCCAAATCGAAGAGTGCGGCGACGAGATGGTCAACAGCATCGTGAAAACCCTCGGGAAAACCGACCGACTCGACGTGAAAACCATTACTGCTTGTTTTTCCACCGACGTGATCGGCACGTGCGCGTTCGGCATGAAGCTGGACACGATTAAGAACGACGATTCGGACTTCCGACGGTACGTCAAGATACTTTTCAAGACCACTTGGAGACAGGTGGTCGTGATGTTGCTGACAATGATTTGCCCCCGGGTGATCAGGCTATTGAAAATACCGATGTTTTCGCCCGAGGCCACCAATTTTTTCTCTAAGGTGTTCGCCGACGTTATCAAGTATCGAGAAGATCACGACGTGGTCCGGAACGATATTACTCAGACCCTGATTCAGGCGCGTAAAGAATTGGTGTTGCAGGAAATCTCCACCACCGAAGGTATATAATAATAATTATTGAGGCTATATATATATTAATGATCAGAGTTGGAAATTACCTACCTACCTAGTTAATTTGTTTTAAATATTAAAATTAACTATTTTCTTATGCACCACAAGATATCTTATCTAGTTTAAATTGCTGTAGATATATCTTGGCTTTTTTCAGTTGGTTTAAATATATTATAACCTATCAAGTTTAAATTAAAAATGATTTTGAAATTATTTTTGTTTTTAATACATTAATTAATGACTAATGTAAGCAAGTTTATTGAAAAAAAAAAAAAAATCAAATAACTATTTTATTAAGCAATACTATAATTGATATTATGTTTCTTGATTCAAAATATTAGTTGTATAATATAGGTATATTGTATATGACACACGTGACATATCAATATTTAGTAGGTTATTTAATAGAGTAAATTTGGTAGGTAACAGTTTTAAACTAAGATATGTTAATATTTTTTTCTATATGGAATTATAAGCGTTTTAAATGTGTATTTATTTGTTATCAATAAACTTCGCTTAAAATGTTGTGGGGTACCAGTGTACCACTTTACTCCGCTCATCTAAACCTTAAGTTCTTATAACTGATATGAACTAGGTAGGTACTTGTCTTTGTAGATCAAAACACTCCAAATAATATTGTGCTTCGGAATATATAATAAATGTATAAAGTCATTCCGAAATGTAAAAAAATATTAAAAAATAGAAATTTCGGAAATTTTGTTTTGAAATGATATTAAATGTTATTTAAAAAATAAATAGTTAGAACTTTTCGTAACACACGTATAGACACATAAATTGATCATCTTGTATAAATATAGTTAATATTTTAGTATTTACTAATTCTGTGGGATGATGATGGCAGAAGCTAATAGGTAAATTTCCTGAACTTGGTTTTGTCGCCGCCACATATATTTTCAAATAATGACGCATCAGTTATGGTCTTTGCACACAAATAGGTAACAGAGACATATCATATTATGCCACCACTTGAAATACTTCTAAGCTACTTAAATTATAATTCAAAAATTAACAAAATGTATATAATATATCAGCTTCTGCCATCTTTCCACATAATTAATATATTATGTGTTTTTAAAAAATTGCAATATTTGATGACTTTTTCAATTGCTAACTTAAACTCAGTTTATTTAGGTATAGCTGTAATACTTAAGTAGGTAGGTGTAAAATGTATTTTGGTTTAAACCAGAAATCATATACCTATCGTCCATACTTATTACCTATCATTTTGTTGTCGTCTGTCGATAGAGTAATCCCCCCCCTCCCCCCGAAGGGTGGGAACTGGAAACACGCAAACTCGCGGACTCCGAAAGGTTATAACTTTTAAATTCGATCAGAATGACAAACTCTGGTTGCAAAATTGTTCTTGACTCATTGAAATACAAAGGTTTCCAAAAAGAAAAAAAAAGACTAAACTACATTTACCCCGCAAAGTAGTAGTAGTAAGCTTAAATTTTAAGAAATAACTTTGGGGTGGTGGTGTGTGGCAAACGCTTGCAAAATGTTAAAATATGACCCTGCTGGGTATACAACAATAATAACAACAATAAAATGGTCGTGATAATTTAGGGTTTTATTTTTTTCAATATCTTGTTTGCAGATAAATTTACCGACGGCGATATCATTGGTAACGCTATTCTCTTGTTCACCGCCGGCTCGGAAACCGTGTCGTCTATGCTGTCTTTTTGCCTGTACGAATTAGCCCTGAACACAGAAATCCAAAACAAATTACGTTCGGAGGTATGTTCGACGAAATCAAAACACGGTGGACAGCTAAACAACGACTATTTGGTGGACCTTCGTTACACCGATATGGTGTTGGAAGGTATTACAAATTTTACAATAATTGTCGAGACTGATATTACATTATAATATATACCAGATACCTACTACTGTCGATCGTCCGTCAAAACATATGATAATAATATATAGTACAGTTGCAAATAATATCTTGCCGTTGATGGAACATAGTATTTACTTTAAGGGGGCTGCAGCCGATGAAAAAAAAGTGACTAATAGACCAATGAGCTAGACAAAAATGGAAGAATTTGGTTTGACAGATTTTAATATTTTGAAAACGGTTTAACAGTGATCAAAAAGTTTACTAGGATTCAAACGAGGCGATTTTGAATATTTTTTTTCAGCTGTGATATCCAAGAATAAAAATATCGAAAAAATATGATATTTTTGTATTTATACTATTCACTATGACACTAACAATAATTGGAATATTCAAAATCGATGGTAGTAAACTTGTTGATCAATCATAATCTGTTTTCAAAATATTAAAATCTGTCCAACCAAATTCTTCCAGTTTTGTCTACCGCTTATTGGTCTAAAAGTCACTTATTTTTTTCCATTTACTGGAGCCCCCCCCCCCCTTACGGTCTATTTTATGATACGGAATTTAAATATATCGGAAAACATTATAACAAACAAAATTAATGTTTAGATTTCCGGTCTGCAAATCTACATTAGTTTTGACTTTTGACAGAAACTTGTGCAGGCCCCTTAAATAACCGTTTGCACGCACTTAGTAGAATAGGATAAAAATATTTGAACGTTTTATTTTATTGTAAGCAATTAATTAATAATATTACGTACCTAGATACCTTAATGGGTTTTTTATCGTACTTTATAGAGACGGCTCGCAAGTACTCCATTGCATTTAGCATCATGAGAGTGGCAACAAAAACGTACACTCTACCCGACGAATCGTTTGTCATTGAAAAAGGTCAAAAACTCATCATACCGATGTTCAGCATACACCGTGACCCAAAATATTATCCCGATCCGTTGAGATTTGATCCCGAAAGATTTTCCAGGGAACAAAAATCTCAAAGACCTAACGGAACTTACATGCCTTTTGGCGTAGGACCTCGAGTGTGCATAGGTAATGTTATTATTATAATGCAATTTTTACTTATATAATCATATTATATTATAGTGCTACAGGTACAACGTACACGACTGACTAAAAAGTGGTATTTATGGAGGTATAATAATATTATTCAGATATTCTGTAACTTTATGAAAACATTTCATATTATACACAACATTTAAATGTCTGTACAACGTTTATGCTTTATTAATATTGTCTTTAGGTTCCTAAATACTATTGACATTTTACATTTTTTTTTATTTTTTTTAATAATATGTAACGATTTTGTTTAGATTTGTATTTATAGGATTATCCACGGAATTTGCGATTTATCCGTTGTTTAAACCCTATTCCACTGATAATATTGAGAGTTTATTGCAAGAACTTGAATATTAATTTATCATAATAGTATAACATTCAATATCAATAAATCATGTGTTAATGTAGTATGGTAATTATATGGTTCTCATGCAGTATAAAAATCCATCGAGTGCCACGATAACAAAATAATCAAAGGAAATTGTTAATTTTATTAATTTATTTTTTGTCTATTTATAAAATAGAATTAAACACATTAAAAATTAATATTTCTCGATAGAAGCCGCATAATGGTAGGGGCCTTCTTGCATTAAAATCGCGGTTAAAATCAATATAAATATTTATAGAAAACGACAAAATCGTCATAATTTATAATTTAAAAAAATGTTAGGTATCTACGGTTATTTTTTATCTAGTTACACCAAGCAGTCAAAATCCGTTTCCTCATTTGTTTTTGTTTTCCTTGTTGCTTTTAAAAACTTACTTTTACTTCTTACTTTTTTAAAGTACCAACAGATTCACTTTCCCACTAAAAAAGATAATGAAGTCGATGAGAAAAAAGTTACCTAGAAAATTTGCTGCCCCTCAAAATGTGCTGCCAGGGGAAATTGCCCTCCTTGCCCCCCTCCTAAATACACCACTGAGTTATGCGTAATTTACCAGTCAGTTAGTTAGTTTAATGAGTTTTTAGATTTGTATATTATATTTTATAGGTAAACGATTTGCAGAATCAGAAATGAAATTGGTCCTGTCAAATGTACTGTCGAAATTTGAAGTACTTCCGTGTGAACAAACTGAAATTCCGATAAACATAAAATGTGGACCAGGATTAATTTCACCAAAAAATGGAGTCGTGCTAAAATTTAGACCAATCGTTAAGCATTAATAATAAATATAATTTGTATTCCCAAAAGAATATAATATTATATAACATTTAATGTGTATGCATATTTATCAGGTGTTACCTATATGTGACAAGAAAGTATAATTTACCGACTGATTTACAATTTTAAAACTTATAAATTATAATAATAAAAACAAATATAAAAGTGTATGTAAATACACTAGTGTTATAAATTTTCTTTATTTATAATGTATAATTTTGCCAATTTTTTAAATATTTATAAAATAATGTTAACATTATTAGACATTATTTGTAAGACCTATAGGTTTGATAAGCATGAACTTCAAGTAGAACTAAATATCTTTAATAGAATGTTCAAATCTAAATAAACTAACTCAAATAATAGTGTATTTCAAAACAAATTAGATTATATGAAACAAAGTGAAATTAAAAACGGGTTTCCTTTGTTATCTGAAATTTTAAAATTATTTATGACAATACCTACAAACAGTGCGTCTTGTGAACGAAGTTTTTCCTGATTACGAAGGCTTTAAACTTACCTCAGAACAACTATGGGACAAGAATGGCTGTCTGATATAGCTATGTTACAACCTACAAATTGATAGAAATCGCGAGTTATAGATTTTGAAATTGTAATCGACGAGTTCAATGCAGCAATAACTGCTATGGTTAGATAGCATGTACAATTGGTAGAAGCTTAAATTAAATTAGATTTTGTTAAGGCGGCTCTAAACGATTGGATTTTTCATGCATTTAGACCAATAAGCTGGCGAAAAATACACATACTTCTAGTAGTCCAATTTCAATTTTGAATACTTATTTGGATTCGTTAGCCTCTTTTCTATGATCTGTAGGAAAAACTTTTTCATCTTTTTGTCTAGTTAGCACTTAAAAGTGCAAGTTAAATTTGAGAAATCAAGCAGTCATTTGGAACCGTAATATACGTAAATTATCTAAAATATCCAAAATCGGTTTCCTACAAATCATAGAAAAGAGGCTGACGAATTCAAATAATTTTTCAAAATTGAAATTGGACTACTAGAAGTATGTGTATTTTTCGCCAGCTTATTAGCATTTTTCACTGTTGTGAGTGTACAAAAATATTTTTCGAGAGTGAATACGTTGACTTGTGCATGCGCGTACGTGTGCTATTGAACTGTGTGCACGCAGCCGGGCGATATAAAATCTATTGTTATCGAGTTCGAATTTCTTCGAATTTCACACTAATAATCATTTACGACTAACACATAGATTACGGGCGGCGACGACAAGATTAGAAATTGCCTAAATTGTTCCCCTTAAATAATAGCCACTAAGAGCCGCCTTAATTAATATGTACTAATATTTATTGTATCAATGCAATAAGTTACAGTGTTGACTATTTATTTTAATTTATATACCTAATAAAATGTATTTACTTCATATTAATGATAATACTAAATTGTGTATACAAATGAATTTTGATCGGGGAACAGCCAACAGGAATTGAAGTGGTAAATAAATTTTCAAACGGTATTTTGCAATTTTGTAGAAAGTTTTTAACTTTCCTGATTAGTTTTGCACCCCCTGAATTTTAGCGAAATTACGCCTATGCAGTATGAATGTCAATAAAATTGTATTTGATGGCTACAAAAGCTTGATAATTGAATACAAAGCTCCTAATTTATTGTTAATGGCGTTTAAAAAATATTAAAAATCCTTAGTCAGTTTTTTTTATAAACATTTAACAAAATTAAAAACGATGATATTCCAAAAAAAATTGGAACAATTGTTGTAGACAAAACTCCATAACGGAAAATAAGAACGACCCCCCCTCCTTGTTTTGATTACACTGCCGTTCTGAGCAGGGGCGTATATAGGATCTTCTTGAGGAGGGGGATATCAAAATTTGTTTAGTGCTGTTGCAACTTTTTGTTAGTTACCTACTCCATTTAAGGTATATAATAATAATAAATATTGTGTAATGTCACTCACATGCCCACAGGATAACAAAATTATAAATAACAACAGTACTGCAGCAGTTTGTACTTTATACATGGAAAAAAATGGGTAAGGGAGGGGATCTATCCCCCATATCCCCCCCATAAATACGTCACTGGTTTAGAGTGTCAAAACTACATATTATGTATGAATAAAAAATATGACTTTTGAAAAAATTGGTCCCGTAAGGAATATTTATAAAAATAATAATAACACAACGACATGATAACTGATGAGTGATGAGGGATGCTACATATAACATGTAAAAAAAAAACTATCTTTAAAAAACATTTAACAAAGTTCTTTTTGTTTTTATTAAAAATAAACGTGTTTTTTTCAACCCTGGTTTAGAAAATAGTTTTAACGTCTCACGGACATAGGTTAGGTTTTTGTTTTATAATATATTCTGATCATCTTGATAACTTCTATGCTATAATGCTATAAAAAGCACACCTACTGTATAAGTCTATGAACTACTACCACAATATTATATGAATACTTTTTAACATGCCGCTGCTATACATTTCGTCACAGGTGAAGCCAAGTAGTTCAGCTAGTAACATAATAAAAAATACACATATTAATAATAAATACAAAGAAATTAAAACCGGTTTATAAAAAAATGAATTTATTCGTTTAATATCACTTTGCGGTCTAAAGATATATAATGTCAGGCTTAACAACACTGTTAAAACAATTAAATCAAATACGTTCTGATACATTCATAATTATACTGAAAACTTTATGAACTACCTATTGAAAATTAAATAATAACAAAAATAAAAATAATAAAAATAACAATGAACATAATGTTATTAAAATATTGCAATGATACATAACCGATAATTAATATATCATACAGATGTATATAATAATATTAAACGTAAAGTTACATCAGTGTTTGTCTTAGTTTTAGGTAATCAAGTAAATTTGTAATGGTTAGTTTTACAATAAACAAACATTGTTTTTTTGAATCGTCTGACAAATGAACTGAAATATGGTATGTATCTTTTAAAAAAAATTGTAAAACGATTATAAAATTATCATACGAAATGTGTCATAAGTCTCAGTCGTTTATAAAAATGTAAATGAATCTATTGCAATTAAGTTAGTATAAAAACAAAAATAAAATAATAATAATAATAATAATAATAATAATAATAATAATAAAAATTAATTAAACAAACAAACGAAAAGTGAAAAACAATGGAGTGTGGTGGGAGGGACACTTATTTTTGAAAGCAACTTAATAGGTATTTATAAAAGTGCTTTAATAAATGTTAACATTAATTGTATAACTATAAAACAATATATATATAAAATACAAAATAATAATAATAATAATAATGTATTTAAATTGTTCTGAAACAATCGAAACAAACCAAATAAAAAACAATAAATCTATTCAATAACATGTGTGTACGTATGTTATTGGTGTAAAATGGAAATTGAGCAAACGTGTAGATAAAAAACAAAAATAAACCCAAAACCCACCATCTCCAGAGAACATTTTTGTCTTAAATATCTTATATAAATATATATAGAATATGATAATAAATTATAATAATAAAGTAGTACACAAATGTCCAAGAAATAGTTGTCATAACCAAGATAAATAAAAGATTTACACATTAAAAAAATGAAACTAGATTATTAATAAAAAAAAAAGATGATCAAAACTCTGTTGAATTTGAATTTGCAACATTACCAATGAAGATTATGTGTTTCGATACAAAATAAATTTCATAATTTAAAACATTTTAAATGTGTTGAGATTTTAATAAGGTACTTACATAAATTGTGATACGACAACTATTTTTAAATACTATACTTAATTAAAATTAAACGTATTTATATAAAATATGATAAATAAAAACCACCTTGGTAAGTAATAATAATAATAAAAATGTTGAAGAAAAAAAACAAAACATAACCACGTTACAATAAACAAGGTAAACAGTGAATACAGTATAAATGTATAATATAATATTAACATTTTCATCATGGACAATTGATCCTACTTAAATATTGTTAAAAATTAATATTTCATCTACCGCATTTGAAGAATGAAATAATAAGAAGCTTAATATCACGTTTCTTTCAAGGTTAAAATATTATGTTATTGATGATTAAATAAAACATGTCAAAATCAAAACTATTAGTACCCGTCCATTTCATTTTTTTCTATACACAATTTTCGGAATTAACAAATTCAACAAATAAGTCCAAAAGTAATAATGACATTAATTATTAATTAAATAAAACTTTAAAATCTGAACAATATTGTAGAATTTAAAAAATTAAACAAGATTAAGACAAATATAATAAAATATTAAGTATTTTTTTTTAACGGACTAAGAATCCACCCTGTATAATATTATATAATAACAATAAGATAAATCAATGAAGTATTTATTATTATTTTTGGAAAAGCTTTCTGTATTGGTAAACAAAAAATTTCTCAATTTGGTAAATATAACGTCAATGATTGTTAACACACAATAACTATGTTTTTATTAAATATTTTTTTTAACTTAATTTATTATTTTACAGCCTTTGTTTGACTTTTGGTCCGAATAGGCTACACTGTAGATAACAAAATAATCAAAAATGTGTTAAAATTATATAAAATATGTACACTGGCCCACTGTGTTCACCAATTTTTCATTTAACTAACATAGGAAAACAGGAAATCTTGGTAGGCCACTCTGCATACATATTATAAGAAAAATAAAAATATTAGAACTCCAGCCAATAGAATAAAACTAAATGCAACATAATACGGCCATCATTTGAAATTAACAAGGGAACAATATTGATAGTTAAACTGATTCTTTTATTATTTCTTTTTTTTTAGTATGTCAATCGACTGCCAGACAATATTGATATGTTCAGTTTTATGTATTTATAAAACGTTCTATGATGTAACATAACTTATGCTACCAAGTCGATAGTTGAAATTTATCAAAATCAATATCCCCCCCTAAACTTAACCATATCACATCCAAACAAAATCATCAGTCACAGTATTTCCATGTGTTGCCATATGCTGATTGAGTAAATTACTATCGAAGAAGGCTTGGCCGCAAGACACACATTCATATGGGGCAGGCACCATACGCTCTTCGCTGTGTAAATTTTTTTCATGCCTCTCAAGATGAGCTGGTCTGGAAAATGTCTTCCCACACGTATGACATTCATATTTAGTTTCATCTATAGAATTTCCGTTTTCGTCACCAGATTTGTGTACTCGTCTCCTGGTCAACACTGGTTCTACTTTGTGTATACGCTTCAGATGGCGTAACAAATGACTACGGCGAGAGAAGGTCTTTTTGCAAATAGTACAAAGAGTACTTGGTTTTGGTCTAGCTTGTTCGGGTTGTTGTTCGTTGAGTTCAAGCACACTCACAGGAGGGAGTATTTCAGGTTCACCTTCAGAATCAGATACATTTTCTGTTTTGATATCTACTGAGGTTTCTTCGGGCTTTATTTCTGAAAGAGTCACTTCAGGAAGTATTTCTGTCGAAGAAGATGGAATAATACCGTTGTGGATATCCAAATGTTTGCGCAGATGTTCATAGCGGGTGAAACATTTTCCACACTGCCAACACACAAATGGTTTTTCTTCCAATTGATTATCCAAAATTAATGCATGTTCGTGGGCTCGTTTTCTATGTCTGAACAGATGTTCCTTACGCACAAACCTCTGTTTGCAAATATCACAACAGAAGGGTCTCGGCATGTCAGACGAATTAGAACAACTTGGTATACACAAAAGATGTCTGGCTAAATGTTCTTTGCGTATAAAACGTTTACCGCACCGTTCGCACGGAAATGGTCTAACCGTGCTATGGGACAACATGTGGCGCATCAGATGTTCTTTGCGATTGAAGCCACTTGTGCAAATTCGACATACATATGGCTTCACATCTTCATGAGTCATTTGATGACGTTTCCATGAGCTACGACGAGGGAAAGATTTCCCACAGGTAGGACAAATGAATAGGCGTTGCTGGATGTCAACTTCAACTGGTGGTTGAGGTTCTTCTTCATCGCGACTAACGCCCTGATCAAACTCGTAACATTCACCACACAACGAACAAGGAAATGCACCTTTGTTGATAATATAACGCCTATGGGTTACTAGTGTAGTATACGACTCTCCTAAAACAAAAGCAAAATAAAAATATTTTACAAACCAAAAAATTGTTTTACTAAGCTTAAAGTTAAAGTAAATATGACTCTATTTTTGTCTCAGGTAATTACAAGTAGTATTTTTTCTAATAGAGTTGACAATTTTATTTTTTATAATTTTTTTTTAATTAAATTATTAAAATACCTGTATTTTGGAGATAGTAACTATTTAAATAAGTTTTATTTAAGTTTGTAATTAATAAACAGGAACAATAGAGTATCTATAGCAGATATTAGTGTAATAAAATAAATTTACTTAAAGTTCAAACTGTCTATTTAGATATAATATTATACTTGATAAAGTTTGAATTACAAAAATATTATGGTAGGCAGTCGAGTAGGCAATAAGGGGTTTCAATTCAAAACGTACTTTTTCCATTTTTGACAAAATCGAGTTACGTATTGATTCTAGTAGAAATAATGATAGGGAATCGAATGGCGAGGTTAATTTTTGGCTAACCTCACTTATGCCACTTATTCGAAAATCGAGTTTTTCAACAAAACGTTCCTTTCTTAGATGTACATTTAAATCAAAATGAACTATTTCCAATTTCCTGCAAAATTCACTTTTCCCCCATATGTCAGCATATTGTCGGCCTAATTCGCAAAGGTCGTATGTCCAAAATTACAAATTGTTCAGGAGAAGAAAAAACGTTTTACGGCCATATTATAAATTGGTGATACGACGATTTCTAATTATCAATTTCATGGAGGATAATATTATGAAATCGGAAATTTGATTGTATCAACAGACGCAGTTTTTTTTCTTTATTTTATGAGTAAATAATCCCAAAATGACAAAAAATGGAGATACGACTTTTGCGAATTAGGCCGACGATATGAGAAACAAATTATTCATAGCAAAATGTGCCATTTCCTTAATTTCTGAGCAAAACATACTTTTTCCATTTTTTATCAAAAAGTACTTTTTCCTTTGTAACTGTAATACAAAATTAATATTTTGACTGTCAATTTTTTAGATTCTGAGTGAAACGATGAATGTATTGATTTTACAATGATGTGTGTTTTTTTTTTTATTTTTTTTGTGTCTGTGTACACGATAAGTAGTCGAAATAATGCTTCGATTTTCGACTTCAGTATCTTGTTCGATTGGAAAGTGAATATCGTTGGTGCATTTGGGAGGTCAAAATTTAAATTTCCCAGTAGTTTTCAAGAGCGCCGGGAAAAACAACATAAAAATTAAGGAAAAACGGGAATTTTTACGCAAAATCGGTTTTCCAAAAAATCGATTCTGGTTTTTGGTGTAACTTTAAAACAAATGACCGTAGATACATGAAATTTTCACTGGTTGTTTATATTTGCATCTTCTATACACGATAACATTTTCAAAATATTTTGATTTATTTTGAACAGTTTAGGGACATTTTCATTTTTCGTTTTTTTTTAGTTTTTTTTCTAGAAATATCAATAAAATTTTATTTGTTGGTTGCGAAAGCTTGAAAATTTAATAGAAGGCTCCTAATATATTGTTTCAAAGGCAGATGAAAAATATTAAAAATCCTTAGTCACAATTTTTATTTATAAGCATTTAAAGTTCAAAAATTGACAAAATATGGAAAAATCACGAAAATTAGCAAATTATTTTGAGTTAAGAATTTGTAAAAATTTTTCTTTTTAAACCTAAGATTTGAAAATCTAATACAAGATTACTCATAAGATTGTCTACCTTTATCAATAAAAAAATCTCTACTGGAAAGTCAAATTAAATTTTTATGAGCGTTTGAAATTCAAATTTTTACAACATTGGATATTCACTCGATTTCTCATGTGGCAATTTCCTTTTTTTGTTGTAATTAAAAAACGAATTACTGTAGATACATGAAAATTTCACTGAATGTTTATATTAGCGTTTCCTATACACCATACAATTTTGAAAATATTTTGACTCTTTTTGAGCCGTTTACGGACATTTTCAGTTTTCAATTTTTTTAGTTTTTTTTTTCTATAAATATCAATTAAGTTTTATCTGTTGGGCCAAAAAGTGTAAAAATTTAATACAAGGCTCCTGATATATTGTTACAATATCAGTTGAAAAATATTAAAAATACATAGGCACAATTTTTTTTTATAACCATTTTAAAATCGAATTTTGACAGAATTTTTCAAAATCTCGAAAATTATTAATCATCGTAATTAATAAATTATAAAATGTTCAGTTTTTATAGCTAAGGATTGAAAATTTAAAACAAGATTCTACGTAAGTAGTTAATTCTCTTACCGAAAAATCTAAAAAATATACAATCACAGTTTATTTTTATAGTCATTTTATGTTCAAATTTGGACGAAATTTCATATTAAAAAACCTAGTTATTTTGTTGTGATTATATAATATTATTCGTGGGTACGGGGTACCTACTTGAAACTTCTAAAGTGTATTATTATATATCTATGATAGTATCAGGGTTTGTTATTGATGTTGATGTATAACGTGTTATAAGTACTTAATGGATATTGTGATAATGTGATATGATTAATTTGGAATTTATTAAAGGTAAATTTTTTTTTTAATACCATAGATATGTATATAATTTGTCTTAAACCTAGACTGACATACCGTCTTCGCTCAGAATCGTTTTTCTTATACAATGATATTGAATCATTGAATTCAAATTTAATAGCATCCATTATACAGTGACCCACTTGTGACCTACTGTACAGCAGTGCGACATCCACTTACCCACCTTTTTTAAAACGTACTTATTTTATTTTGTCATAATTTCATTAACAAAAAAAAGTTATTATATTTTTAATTATTAAAATATAAATTTGTACTCAGGGAAATTAAATTATATTTATTCATATTTATTTTATATTAAAAAAAAATGTTTACATATCGCTCCTAACTTCAATAGAACTATAGAAATCATAGATGAAAAGATACGTTTTGGAGCAAAAATCGTGGTGGCCTATTCATCTCTATTGTTATTCATGATAAAATCATTAAGATATAAAAAAAATGTGTGAACTTTTTTAATTTACCTTAAATTATATAGTATTAGTAATTTATTATATTGTAAATTAACTATATTACTATGAAAAGAGCACAGGCCATAAAACAATTGGAGGCAGCAAAATCAGTAAGTTTCTTTTATCTACCTAGCTCAAAATGTTATTATTATTTTTTTTTTAATAAGGTACTGAAGGTTTTTGTTTGATATGTTAGAGACTACAGCCTAAAAGATTATTCTATAGTAATAACAATGATATTTTAAATGATGAAGTGACTGAAACATTAGCTGAAGAAGATTGCACAGAGTATGAAGAAGATACACTTTAATAAACTACTATGTTTAAATAACTAATTTCTAGTTGATAATTTATTATTTTATATTTTGATACTACATATTATATACTTAGTTATAATGTGTTATTTATTATTATTATTATTATTATTATTATGTTGTTTGATATTTTACCAAGGTAGGTAAATAAATTATTATAATATAATAACTCATTTCTAGTCCATAAAAGTTATTTTATTTGATACTCTAAAATGTTACTAAACTGTATTTTTATACTACTTATTATACATATAATATTTTGTAGTTATAATATGTTATTTATTATTATTATTATTAATATGTCGTTTGACATTTTACCAAGGTAGGTAAATAAAACAAAAACAAAATAAAAGTGTAAATTAAGTTTAAAAATATTGTGTTATATTATAACTACCTCTTTAATATTATTTACAATTTCATTCTTTAATTTTTTTTCAAATTGAAAAATTTGTTTCAAAATCTACTTTTTCTGGAATGTACATTTTATCAAAAATAATTTTGTTTTTTACAAAATGGACTAAGTAATAGATTTTTTTCAAAATGTTTGATTTTCGGAAATAGTATGTTTTGTTTAAAATAATACGTACTTTTTCCAAATTGACCAAATTTAATGCAAAACGTACTTATTCCGTATGTTTTGGAGAAAACAATTTTTTTATATCTTAAAAAAGGGCAATAAATAAATTAAACAGAAAATAAATAAATTTATAAACAATATGAGAATATTTTTAGATTTTTTTAAAACCCTCCAAGATGGTCTAAGCCGATTCAAAATACCCTAAACAGGAAACCTGCTCTACTGGAAAAAGAGAAAAATGGAAAAAGTACATTTTACATTGAGACCCCTCATGATTTTAAGTAACTAATAATTTTATTTTACCAGATTTTAGCTTTTCGATTGTTTTTTCAAATACATCCCACATGGATGGTAAAACTTCTCTTCGGATGCGTAAATTGTCAACAATGTCTTTATCTGCATTACTCAAATCTGTTGGTAACTTTTTGGAATTGTTGTACTCTATTAAATAGTCACCCAAAACACCTGTTGGTCCATTCTTACTGAAAATGTATACAATAATATTAATAAAAATCAATAACAGACAAATTTATTTAATTATCAATATTGAATTTATAAAAATACTCACACTGGTTCTAAATTGAAAGTCTCTTCTTTCATCAGTACATAATCTTCAGGTGATGGTTCCCCAAGGAATGATCTTTTGGGTGCATCCGACTTGCTTTTATCTTTGCCTATTATATTGATAAAGTTAAAATTATAACATACATACAATCAAACATAATATTCATAAGGTAATAGAGCTGGGCAATATCTTAACGAGAAATTGTAAATATGCTTTACATTTTGCTTTAAAAATAAAAATACAATGATGTTTATTTTAATCCATGCAAAGCATGCAAACACATATTATAATAATAAACTTTGAAAAGCTTTGATCATGTCCCTAGGATATGAAGTATGGAACTCAAAACTATGAAAAGGAAAAATGAAAATTAGTGAGTATTATAATATACATTACAGTAATTAATATTATTTCATGGTAACAATGGTAACCTCCCACAGACCCACCCCCACGGATAACAGCTAATTTTTCAGTGTTTAAGGCCACAATCACTTGATTTTGCTAACATATCATTTTTCCTTTAGGCTGCAATAAATTTGTGTTCAATTTTTATAATTATAATTAGTTTTTCATATTAATAATATGCTTACTTATGCAGTTATGTATCTTTTTTAAAAAACTTAAATATTTGAGCAGGGTTTGTACTTAAGGGGTCTCCAGTCGGTTGTGTTATTAGTAATTTAACATGATGACATTTTAATGACTTGTAAATATGTGCAAAGTAAATGAACAATAGTATGAGTAATAGTGTGAGTTTAATCTGTAATCGTTTTTGGTCAATATTTCCTAGAAATGTCTCGAATTATAACAGTAGGGTCGCATAAAACGCCCATTAGGTTATTTATATTCACCATTAATTAACTTAGATAGCTTTTTTCAATTTAAAAAAGTTGCTCTTAGACCAAAAAGCCAGACCAAACTGAAGGAATTTGGTTGGACGGATTTCAATTTTTAAAACTGATTTTCAATGATTACCAAGTTTACTAGAATTCGATCGAGGCGATTCAGAATATCCATTTTTTCATCCGTGATATCCATCCATAAATACAAATATGGATATTTTGTGTATATTATGTTATTCATTATGACACTAACAATAATTGGAATATTAAAAATCGCCTGTGGTCACACCTAGTAAATCATCAACCGTTTTTAAAATTAAAACCCGCCAAAACAAATTCTTCTAGTTTTGTCTGGCTTTTTGGTCTAAAAGTCACATTTTTTTCATCGACTCAAGCCTGTTTAAACAAAATGTTTTTTCTTATTTTAAGAGTATATATTTTATACTAGATAATTTAGATTTTAATTAAAGCATAATATTAGCATCATATTTTAGGCTTTTTTACATAGAAATCTGGATAATACTATCAGTACCTACATATACCACCCGACAATATTATAAAAAAATGTACATTTCTGTCAACATACTTGTATAACTTTGTCCGTCATCTTCATCAGTTATGTCAATTACTAAATTGTTCGCCAATTCATCACCATCATCATTCTATAAAAGTTTTAATTAAAAATTAATATAAATATTATAATCAAGAAAAAATATTTTACAGTAAAATCCTATTTAAAAAAAAAAAAAAAACCATTTGTACATTCGTTTTAAATTTTTGTGGATAAAAATGATGAGAATTAAATCATCAAAGAAACTATGATTTATTAAACCCTACATCTTAATATTTTAGTATTGTGATAAATATCAAAATAACCCGTTATTCACAAAATTAAGTTGTCCATTTTCTAGGGAGTAAAGTTTTCTTTCTCAGACCCATGCACAACATAGATGAAAGCATTCATGTAAAATCATTTTTTAAGATTTCTGTATATTCTTTAAAGTAAGTCTCCTACAACACAAATTATAGAGGATAGAATTTTGGTATTACTTTATTATTATTTGACTATATTATAATAATCAACTAAATAAATTCAATTTTTTTTTGGAAATTTAAATGATTGTTAAATTTTTTAGGGACAATATTTAAACAAACCAATAAGTCATAGGTAACCTCGGAAATATTATTTTCTATAATATTGTTGCAATGTGCGATTTTACTAAAAAGTTACTCAAAAATTTCATCAAAAACATAAAAAAAATATATTAATATGTCGTGTGAATGCGTTTTGTTAGTGTTGTGCGCTATTCAGAGAGAGAAAACAGACACATTCCTAGGTACTTATAAATAAATAACAAAAATATGATCAGATCGACTTAAACAATTATTTTTTTAAAAAGGAGTCGCATCATCAAGTACCTATTTGTTACAATCTCCAGATTACACAATAAACTTATACAAAAAAAAAAAATGTTTATGTAGCTCACTACGATAAATTCACTCTAGTTGTATCTATGAGAAAAAATAGTATTTATTTTGAATTAAATATTAGAATTTGTAGTAGCTTATAAGCCTATTGTAATAGTGACTTGAAGGTTACCTAAATAATAATTAGTAATTGCTAATCAAATATAGTTTTTAATTATCATAACTGACATGATTAATCTAAATCAAAAAATATGTTAAGTAAGGACAAAATATGACACAAAATGCCTTTTGCCTAGATGTCGTTACATAAATATAATTATAAAAAATAATGATTGTGATTGTGTCAAACAGTGATAAATTATTTCGTAATACAAAAATAAACCACAAATATGTTTATAATATTATTTTGAGTGTGTAGTGTGTGTATACACAAGGTTGTCACACATTTATTTACTATTTCAATCTGGTTGGATACTAAATACAGAATCATTATGTCCAGCTTCATAATATAATATACATATCCTATATTTACATATCATAATTGTGTAGCCATGTAGGTACTAGCTTTTGATAACCAAATGAAAATTAATGACTAATAATATGGTATGATGGTACTATCAGTATTCACTAAATTCCAATTTCCATGTATTGACTAATGAAGACAGCAATTAAAAAACATAAAATGTTACTGGTTATTATACTAATTTCGAGTTTATCATAAATAGTTTATTATGAATAATACAATAAATTAACATGATGAACAAACTTGACTACCTACATCCACGCGGTGTGATTATGTAACAATAAAATAAATATGTCATGAGGCCATGTGGTTGATAATTAAAATCCAGAGCTGCCTAGCATAATAATATACATATACAGATTGTCAAATACAAAGTCTTTTTTAAAATTGACATTAATAATTCTAGTATGTGCATTCCTTTTCCCTTTTCTGTCATTAAGGTTTTCGGGAAAAAAACAATGTTGCAGAATAATGTTTGTATAAGTGCAAGAATTTCAAATTAAACGTTAAACACTTTAGTAAATAAAATAAAATTATAAAAATGTTTATCCCAATGCATAGCCCAACAGTGCATAGCCTAATAATAATTATCATATTTCTAGGAATACATGGATAAATACCGATCCGATAAGTTAGCCCAGCTAGGTTAATATATTGTATAATATGAAATCATTTATCAAATATATTTTTGTAAGAAAATTTGCTTGAGTGAGCATATTGTATTATATTTTGTAGAGAAATAATGATTTTGAAGCAAAATTAAAAAATATAAGTACCTAAGTAGGTTCCTATAATGCATTATCTATTAATTATTATAAAAGTGAACTAAAACTATAACAACAATGCATTAAGTTGTTGTTTAATAAACTCATAATTGTCACATAATAATACTATACAGGTAATTTGGTAAAATGTGCAATATCAATTAATAATTATATGATTAATTAAACTTATAATAATAATATAAGTACTAGGTATAGGTTAGGCATATCGATACCTAATAACTAGGTTATTCATCTACATTCAGTTTAATTAAATATAGTAATAAATGTAAAATATAAATTTAATATACTTTATCATCTCCGTCCGATAGTTGTTTCAGGTCCATGTTGTTATTTTTTGAGCACATCTCATAAAATTGTTCCCACTCGTTTAACAACTGCAAGCACTCAGAGCATACTATTTGCGACAAGCCATCATCCTCCGAAACCTGAACAAAATAAGACATTTTCAATTAATTTACCCAATACCAATCAATAAAATCAATTACATGAAATAAGTACCTATACTCTGTCCAGCGAGAGAACGCACCAATTCTGAGCATCCCCCGCGTCACATTGCTATCGAAACTGGTTCCCCTATGGCAGTGTTACGTGGGGAAACCAGTTTTGGTCGTTGCGTTCTCTCGCTGGACAGACTATAGTCATTTTTATATTCTATAACATATAGACGGTACTCACCTACCTAACCTAATAATTTATTTTCAATATAAACATTGAGTACCTAGTTAGGTAAACAGTATTTATTTGTATACCTACCTAATTTTTCTTACTCACAAGCTCAGTATCTATCTGGTACTGATAAAAAGCACTCGCCTACTTAATTTGTGTACCTAAGTATATATATTTATATTCAATTTTATTTAATGCACAACAAAATAAATTATTCATTTCCTTACTTAATTTGGAAACTTATTGACAAATCAGAAAAGACCTTATATTACCTATTTACCTAATTCAATAAGATAACAATTAAAAATGCATTGGATTGTTGAATAACTATTAATGATTTAACCTGCACAAAAATTATAATTTTTATTATTATTAGTTACCTATTCACAATGTACTATAGCATAAATTACAATAAAACTAGGGAAATACATTGTATGGAGAATTTAAAATTGGTAGGTACCTATTTGGTAATAAGTAATTTTAAGGGGTGTCAGAATTTAAAAGCAAAACAATAAGTAGGTACCTACACTTGTTTAAATCAAAATATACTTCTATATATTAGGTATATTGCTCAAAAATCCAATGGATATTATATTATACCTACCTAATAATGGAATCAGTAAAGTACAATCGGTGCTTACTAATTTTTGTGTGACAAATTTATTTCAATATACACAAATCGGATTATCAGCATAGTAGGTACCGAGAACTCTATCAACTAAATCAAATTAATAAAATTACCAGGAACACCATAATATAATAAAAGTGGAATGAACTGTAAAAATTGAATTACATAATAGGTTCCAATGTACCATCATATTATTATTATATTAAGTACCTATGGGTAACAACTAAACCACACTCGACTGATAAACTTGCGATTCAAGGCAGGATGCTTTGTAAACTACAGCGCACCATTTAACCGTACCATAGAGGTGATGGTAAGAACATAGTACGGTCGACACAGACATTTTAGTATCGGACGGACACAGATCAAACGGAGCAAAAGCCATATCCAGTGAAGACCATGGATCTCTGACTTGTATCAACAACATTTCAAATGGGTATTAAGGGACATGATATTATATTATGACGAAAGTGGATGGAAAGCTATCAAAGGCCGGTAGAAAACTCGAACCGACCGCGGGCGGCCGTCGGGAAAGTGAAAAATGTCGCCGGGTCGCGCGCCAACATTTCGGCCGTGCAGCAGCTCAGCAGCTGTTCGATCGCAAATGTCGTCGTTATCAGGCGTGACGCAATCATCATTGATAGCGGAGCAATATTGTTATTTGAAAAGGTCGGCGGCGGCGGTGGGTGGGGAGTATTACTATAATTATTATTGTCACACACACTCGTTGGTTTGTGAGCGGCAAAGGCCGAGTGTGCCCTCGTCGGAGCGACGAAACGATGGAAAAATATAGACAACCGGTACCCAGGTACGTATAGAAAACTCGGGCGGCAGAATTGGCGGTGCAGATATCGATGGGTAATAATAATAATATTTATTACGATGCGATGCCACCGAGTTGTGTACACATGCGGTCGCTCACCTGTATCCGCAGGTGCTTGACAATGGTGTCGCGCAAGCCGCCGCCGGGGCGTGTCCCGCCGCAGCCATCGCCGTACTCGGCTTTGACGGCCGTGACGATCGGATGCCGTTGATCGCCGGCCACCGAAGGCCTGCAGCACAACCTGCAGCTGGCCGCCGTGGCGGCCGCGTCGTCTTCCTCGTCGTGCGCCATCATCGGTGTGCGGGTGAAACGTCACAGATCAGACGAAACGTCGTCGACGTCGCGTTTTTGAGGGTCTGCACTGTGCGGCAAAACGGAATTAATATAATACGACGTGGACAAATATCGACGCGATGACGACGAAAATCGGAAGCGCCGAGCGATTGCCGTGTCGCAATACTATTTTGTGCGCCAACGGACGTCGTCGGCGGCGTACGCGAAAAACGGACGACCGTGTGCTGCGGCGGCGGTTACGAGAGTTTCACGGATAATATTGCGGGCTGCGGCGCGGCCGGGGACGAGCGCAACGGCGGCGGCGGCGGCGGCGGGCCACGTAGACTACGGGTGTTTGTGTGTGTGAGCGCGCTCGTTGGTGTGTGTGCTAGTGGATTACGATAAAAAAAAAATCGTATAGAAAAAGAGTGTACGAAAAGAGAAAAAAAATGATGCGCTCCGGCGGCCCGCGGGCGACGACCGTGTACACTGCGCGGCGCATTAAAAATTGGTGGGGAGGCGAACCGCCTCGTCGGCGCGGCGCGGGCACCCGAAACGGTTCGGCGTCAGCGGCGGCGGGCAGCGTGCGGCGTCGGCGGGCGGCAGAGTGGAAGCGCTCAAGCCCCTACCCAAAAAATTTCCCTGAGAACACAACAATAATAAATTGATATATTGGTGGCGGGCGCCGCGAACGGGTCGTGTGCGTGTGCGAGAGCGCGCGCGCTTGGGGGGGGGGCCCGTCTGCTGCGGTGGTCGCCGGTCGGTTCGCCTGCGAGAGAGGTCGTTCGGCGTTCCGCTCGCCGGGCGGCGTATCGGCGGCGGCGGTGGAAGGAGAATTCGGCTCGACTGGGGGGGTGGTGGTGGGGGGCTGGCGAGAGGGGCCAGCCGGTGCGGGGAGGTGACGGCGAAAAAAAAACCGTATAAAAATATATATATATTATTATTATAAAAACGTACGCGAGCGCTCCGCTACACGAAAATAAAACCCGTCGGCGCGCGGGGCTGTTGTAACTTGTAACACACTGTACCTATAATGCGCGTTGTCGGGCTTCTATTTTTGTGTTTTCCGTCCGGTGGTTCGGCCGACGCCGCAGCCGCCATAATATCAATATCATCATCATTATGAGTAATAATAATTATCATATTAATGTTATTATCGCTCATTCAACGATGATATTATTAATAACTTTATGATTGTAATAAATCGGTTGCTATTATATTAGGTAATATTATTATCATTGGCCTATAATGTGATTAACGTATTTTATACATCACAAAACTGGTCGATTGTAAGGGGGAATGGGGAGTCGAAAAGGGTTTTCGACGGGTGCGTTGTTATAAAATCAAATAGATACCAGCATTGGTACCAGCACTATATTATTCTATAATCAATGGTACTAGTCAATGTCGGTCGGCGGACTCGGTTCGCGAAATGAAAAAAATTAATAGAAATTGCCGGGGCCGAGGACGACAACACCGACGAAGGCGCCCGACCGTAGAACTCGGCGCGTACATAATAATAATAATAATATGCCTTATGCCTATACACGGCGGCGAGTGGCGACCGTACACCGGCGTTCCCCCCCTGCCCATACTCTGGCGGCATATTATGGTTTGTATAATGTTTTTATCCCAATAAGTGTGACGCGCGCGCGCGCGCCTGAGGGGGGAACTGCCGACGATAGAGACTAGAGAGTTGTTGACCGTCGTCGTCGCGCCGTTTTGACACGGCACGAAAATATTAAGCGTAGTAAAGTGGTAAAAACATATTTAAAAAAACCCGAACACCGGTGCCCTCCTTCTCCTCCTCCTCCTCCTCCTCCTCCTCCTGCCAGCAGCAACACCTATCGTCGCCGCATTAACGCGGACGGCAAGAGTATTAAAATACAGCTATAGTGAAACTCGACTTAACGGTCACTAACTCTGAACGGACCAAGTCCCTGCAAAAATACAGACATTCCAATATTCTTACTCAATTTTGAATCCGTAGGTCTACGTAAGGAATGTTTTAAACTTAGGTACTTTACTTACTTTATTGAGACATTTTTTTTTTTTCAAAACCATTACCAACTTTAACTAGAATGTATTTAATATAACATTGAGGACCCCGTCTCTATGACTCTATTGCGGACACGGAGAGTCATTTTTCTCCCGATACCTTATAGTCGAGGCCAATAATCTTAATTCAAACTCTGCAAATACTATGATAGCACACGTACGTGGTATGATGTACATGATATAATTACCACTACAGTAGGCACAGACTTTATTGCTTACTTTCTATACAAGTCTACAACAGGTCGCGACAAAGCAGTGCCCGGACTTCATGTCAAAGCATGGAATACGACCGATACATTTACGTTGTGACATTACCGTCCTTTATCATCGCCGATAACGATAACGTTAATTACACACCTTTATAATAACTCAGTTATATTTAATTAAAAATAATGTATTATGTATGTATATGTGTGCATGTCAGCTATCATTAATAGTATTATGCACTTATTTATATTTTTTCTCGGGTATTTTCATGAAAACAGTTATGTGGGTACTTACAACGTGAGATTGACTAAAAAAAAAAAGAAGAGGAGTGGTAGTTCGGTGAAATTATTTTCACCTGGGTGAGACACATGGAATTTCTCCCTATGATGCGCATGTGCTTTTATTTTATTATTATCATTTTGTTTTAATGGGTGTTATGACAATATATACCTATTATATAGGTACTATACGTCTATACAATATATAATATAATCTTTATAAGCTAATTTACCTATAAATCTATACTTTTTAGCCCAAACGATACTTTTAGTGGAATAAACACTCACCTAAACGGTATATATTATATATCAATTCGCTCAAACAGACCACATTTTGGGTCGATTCACCCCCAAAACCCTTATTACGACCCTTTTAATGGTCCCGTGACTGTCCATTATATTATTATATAGATTTCATTGTATTATTGTTTAGTTTTCATATACATAATACATAGGTATATTATATCGCAGCGACGGGGCAGACGGGTAGGTGCCACTAGGTGGTTAACCTATTATACACATTGGTACAGTTTGATGTTGGTACTACGACTTTATTTATTGTATAAAGGCTGAAATATATTATTATTATGATAATATAGAGTCGAGTACGCGATGTTCATAATATTATATTTTACGGGAGGGCCGGATTTAGGGGAGGGCTGATTGGACTGAATGGGCTGCGGTCCAGAGGCACCTTTAATTTTTGGGCCCTCACAGTTTTATAATTATTTAACGAAAAATATAGACAAAATGCATTTAACATAAATGTACTAATGTAAATTCATTAAAAAAAATACTTATATGTATAACATGAAACCTAAAATGAAAACCTAAAAGAAAATCGCAGTACCTTGACCCATGAGTGTAGGATAAAAGCAGGAACAACGCAAGCTTTTGGTCGCGACTGCGCAGAGTCGTTTGAAATCGATGTTCGCGGATACTGATAATCACGTACATTGCACATACTATCCTACATTTTTATTGTATTTAATGATTAATATTATAAGTACTAACGTAGTGGCAACGGTCACATCGACGAACCGTGTTTAGAATTGTCGGTGCTGTATATTATCATTTATCATACATTATATTATACAGCAATTCGGTGAGCCTCACCTCGTCCACACCGCCAAGCGCTCGTTCGGAGAAAAAGGCCTTAGTTTTGATCTAAATGTAGCCTTACATACAATAGCGTATTTATGGGGGGGGGTAAGACACCCTTCCCCCATCCCAATTTACAAATAACCATAGATATTTCATCAAATACTTTAATTTTTTGGTCTATACTCGTATAGTCGTCAGTACTTGGATTTATTAAATAATACCTATAAGTAGATAGGTTATTCGTGATTGTAGTCAAATTTGTCCTGGCTTTTTTTTAGAATAATAGACTTTTTAAAAAGCTTGAGATTTGTCTGATCAATTTAATATTGGAATTCGTGTACCAAGGGGCAAGGATGGCAAACTCATTGTTTCAATATTATGTCAATACTCAACAGAAATATAAGTACCCATTATATGGATTTTCTGTTTATTATTCATATAGGTATTATAGGTACCTCAATTTTTTAATACCTAACAGAAATGGAGTATAGATATCAGATATGTTTAATAAAAAACGATAATATTATATTAAATTTTAAATGCGTCATAACTATTAGTACATTGGCCAAAATTGATAATTTAGGACCGGGACAAATAATCAGACTGTAACAAAACCACCTGCAGTGTATCGAGTTAACAGGCCGGGCCGGGCCGGGTCGTTGGTTTATATATTATTACCGATTTAAAAACAGACTGCTTCGAATAGGTACCTACCGATAAAATAGATCGCGAACTAAAATTTTGGACAGGTGGTATGTCCGAAAAAATTTCCCATCACGCGGTTGGCTCGGCGATCCAGGCTCGCAGACCAAATCCAATATAGTGTACGATTTTACCTTTACTGACTGATGAAATTATCATGGTCACGTTCGCGATTGTACCGTATATGGTATATAAAACGTGGACTGCGGTCACCGAATTTGTACCGCATTCTGCATAATATGGTTTATGGTTTATACGTTTCTCATTCTCAATATTGTATACTAAGTAACTATGTACCAACTATATATTTTGTTTTTTAAATAAGTACATTTTCTTAAACGTCATAAACGAACATTCTTTCAAAATGTGTTTATGATTAAATCAGAGGTCTATATATTTGAGGCCCATTAGGTAGTCTGTGGCACTACGCCACCACCTGTAGTTGCGGCACTGATTTCAGTGCACCTGAGGCTCGATAATCGTTTAGCGATAGTCGAATGTCATATTATTACGATCATCGTTTGAGCATGGCGGGTCACAACAACTTTTGGGTTTCGATTTTTATTCAAATGACGCCACAGTAAATGGATTCAACTATTCAAGTCCCGTCGCGCTTGTAAATTGTATTCGTGTAAACTCATTACCTAGCGTGATGATGATGATGATAATAAT